TGCTTGTGGCACAGGGTACAGAGAATGAGGACGCAGGTAGACAATGCCAGCCCTCTGCGGCAGCGGCCTTGGTCTGGGCGGGCAGCCAGTGAGGGGCTGGTACACTTGATGAAAGCCATGGATGAGCTAGACTCTCTGGAACACATGCCGGAGGGCTTGGACAGAGCCACATGGGAACGCTTCTGTCTGTCCCGGAGGACTAAGGTGGAGAGTGAGCAACAGGTGGGGACTCTGTGTTGGAATGCTTTGCAATGCATGGATTCTATGCGTATCTGCTCATGATGTTTCCACCATCATATTGCGTCATCTGCTTGTTCCCGGTATTAGTCATGTGTAGTGTAATGTAATGAGTATATAGGAGTCTGGGAGCAGGGATGCATCAGAGAAAGTAGCAGGGGAGAAATAATGAGTAAATAATGGTTACTGGACTCGATTTAAGTCTGTCTATAATGATGCCTGCAGGTGAAACAAAAAGCCCTAACTCTGGCAGAGATGCAGGCCTTCCTGCAGAGGAGGATCGATGAGGAGGAGAGGGCTGGACAGGAGGTTAAAAAAGTCATGGATGATCTGCACAGGTTAGAATGTTCGATACGTGGACCTTGTGTCCATCAGGAGATGGCTTACAGAAATGCTTGTGTATCCCACAGTATTTTAAGTTCATATCATTTCACATAATATACAGCCCTGTGCAAAAGTCTTAGGCAGCTAAAGAAAATGTTTAAAGTTATTTATCTGGGTAATAAGTGTATATTTGCTCAGAAATAAACTTAGAATATATGTAAATTCACAATAGCACAATAAAAACTAACAGGAACTTCTTCTGTTCTCCAAAAGGTAACCGATATCTTGTTGGATGGCTAGATGAATATTGCTTCAGTGCCCAAACCTCTCCTCCTCTCTAATTTGTTAAATCACTCAATTAGGTATCAATTAGCCAAACAAGATGGAGTAGTGGCCAAGTCAAAAAATACATTGGTGTAGTGAATGGTTACTGCAAATACTGGGGTAACTTTAGGAGAGGTTTTGAAACATCTAACATAACATACTTTGATAGACAATATCAGTTTTACACCGACATGAAGATCATGTAAACATCATTTTCTTTGACTGGCCAAGACTTTAACATAGTACTGTATATCCTGAAAATCTTGTCACAGCCTCAGTGAAGAAAAGATCATATTCCGGATGAACATCATGGTCCAGATCCTTATCAAGCAAGGGTTGGTGGAGCTGGAGACAGAGGACTTCAATACAGACTATTCTGACTCAGTACTTATCCATCGCAACGTTGTGGAGGATTTGAACGCGACTATTAAGGTTGGGGCCAAAGCTCATACTTTGGTTTGTTTAAATTACATCCACTGTTTATCCATTTTGCTTCAAATCTGTTGATCACCTGGTGTCAGGCTTTGGGAGAGCAGAAAATCGCCATCATGGTGGAGTGCAAGGACTTCCGCAAGGGCATCATCCGGCAAGAATGGGAGCACCGGCGGATGTCCATGCAGATCGAGGACCTCCTGAACAAGGCCCGGGATATCCAGCAGCTGCATGTCACTCAGGAACTCCAGGAGGTTGGCTGTGTCATCCCAGTGGATCCTACACCAGCATTCTGTCCTCAGAACATTTTTGTGTAGAACTCCCACAAGCGCACAATTCCAGAACTGTCCTTTAGTTATACAAGCAGAATGCACCAATAAAATATCATATAGATTGATATACAAACATTCTGATCACTATCATAAGTGTGCACATCATATCTGTAAAAACAGACTAAAGAACAGTAAGACGAGGTATACACTAAAAAATATCAAAGTAAAATGATTTTTTTACCATTAATGAATACATGTGCCGATTTTTGTTGAAATTCTTTTCCTTCTTGAAGTATCTGAGTGAAACAGATCATGAGAACCGGATTGCAAAACAAATGTCAACTCTAGAAAAGAACATCTCACTACAAAAAGAGGTGAGACACAATTGCCTATTCTTATTCCGCTTTGAGACTCCTTTCATTCTGGTGGCAAACTGAAATAGACACAGAAACATATACTTATAAAAAATGAATTGTTTTGGAGACTAAGGTACTCAGTTAAATTATCTACTAGCTACCATGTATGTCTGCTTGTATTGTTTCACAGCCATTTCACAGAAGCTAATGCAATTACTGATTTTTGTTGAAGTATAGTATGATATTCATTATTATTCTAAATTTTCTGTTATATATGTTCAGGTGCTAACAATCTGTATTGATAAACAGGCAACACTTTACTTGAGCCAGCAGTAAGTAGCTTAATAACTCAGTTCCTGCTCAAGTACAAATCATGAACAAAAATAGCATGTAACTAACAGTTTCTAGTTAGTTTATTCATGAAGTAAGCGTGCACTGCTACATTATCTGTGCCTGCTCAAGTAATGCGTTATCCAAAAATCACTAAGGAGACTTGGCCATTCATTTTAAGATTCATGAGAAGAACGTGAAGAAGACGAAGATGTTGATTCAGAAGCTGAACAAGCAGGCCGCTCAGAGGGCAGCGGAGAACGCGGCGCTACACCAACAGCTGGAGCTCATGAACGTGACGGTGGCTGAGAGGAGACAAATCTGTGAAGCCGCAGGTAAAATTACAAACAAGACAGGCCAGGCTAAGATCCTGCCTTTAAGTGTTTACAGAACATAATCCTACTCCAACTTACATACCACATCCATCAAAGAACCAAAAAAGTACCATCTAGTATTTCCTGCTGCCTGACATTCAGTGATCAAACACAATGACTTTGGTGTCCAACAGCAGTGGAGCAGACTGAAGAGAATAGCGCTAAGGAGCGCTACCAAGCTATCCTGGAGAGGAAGCGTTTGCTGGAGCTGGCCAAAGCCCAGGCCCAGGAGCTGGACATCCTGCGAGCCGAGAGGGAGAGACTGAGAAAAAAGAACTTCCCATCACTGCCACAATCAGGGCACAAGTAAGGGAAATGTGTCTCAGTGGAGTTTTTACTTTATACCTACTTTGTTCTAAACTGATAATCTTACACAATCTGTATTATACAAGTACACAAATATATGCAATACTTCTTAGAGATACAATATAATCTGTACAATAAATATCAAACTTTTTATGAAAATCAATATGTCTTTGGTACCTCTTAGAGTAAAATCTTTTCCTATCTCCAGTCAGAATTTAGTTCTGTGATTTCTGGATATGAATTTTATTGTAGCACAGCGTCAGAAATGCTTTCTAACTGTACAACTATATAACAAAAATATAAAGAACGATGGAGGACAACAATCACCAAATCACAAATATATACATATTTGGCCTGATTTCATTTTGATTTCTTGTAAAATCGTAAAATGTTAGTAGATTTCATGGAGAAGCCCATTCCATATGTTCCACACATTTTAAAACAATTTCAATTTTCAGCTAATTATCGCCCCTCAGAAAGCTTAAGTTGCCCATGTTATATGTAATATGTACTGATACATACAACATACAGCATGGATAATGGTTTTTAATTCTATGTGATTAACAGAGACCAATCACAACAAAGATGATTTTAATCTGTGATTTGAATTACAGGTTTTGCTGAGAATGCAAGCCAGGACAAAATCTGCTCTCTGCCCAAAGGCAGAACCATCAATACAAGCTTAAACAGTCCAGGATCCGGTGAATCTATTGAGTTATTGCTTGTAGTAGGAGAAAGAGCTATTTTTTTTACTTCAGCAGGAAAAGGGCAATACTACATACTTCGATCCTGAATTTCTGCAGAGAAATGTTTAGCTGTATTAATGTAAGCGTCAACTGAGCGATTCTGATCTGTCCTACTGTATAAATAAATTAAATGCATGAAATGAGTCAGTTTATTTCTCAAAGAAACACCTGATGCTATTGTTAAACATTTCAAAAGTATTTCTTACAAGACATTCTTAACTGCAAAGACTACATTCATACGCCCATTTTCTTGCAGTCCAGATTCATTTCACGCTATCCTACTCAATAACATTAATATTTTTCAATGGTAACATTTTGAAAAAACAAAAAGGTGCGATTAATAAGTAATTATTTTATTCATATGTTTTAGTATGTACAGCAAAATCAGTACATTGTAGGAATCATTTAACTGTTTATATTCGACCCCTGGTGGCCATTCTGCAATTGACGGCACTGTGAGAGCGCGCAAGACTGCTAGACAAAACAGAGGCATATCAGTGCTGGAAGAGGCGAGGACAGGCTGCACATACAGTACATGTTCATCAGTTATACTTCTCCTTCAGTCTCCCACCGTATGCACAGAGCTGAGGAAATCCACCTTTTGTTGTAATGCACCACATGAGTGGAACACATTACAAAATATATTGAATTTAAACTCCTTGCCTTCTCTGAATGTTTAAAAATCTCTTAAATTCTGAACTTAAAGAACAGTGTCATTGTTTCGTATAAATTAATTTTATTCTATGCATTTGTATGTGTTTTAGTCTGTGGTCATATTAATCATCCTTGTGTGAATGTATATGAAACTTTTGTCTTTTAAAATAGTAAAATAAAGGATAAATAATAATAATAATAATAAAAACATTCCTCTGGAAAACAAATTAAATAGATAAATTACCCACAGAATATCTTTGTTTAACATGTTTGGTCTCAGGGTTGGTTACAGTCATTGCTTTGGTGTTACAGAAAACAACAGCACCAAACATATTATACTGTTGCCTCACTGTAACAAGTTTATTTTAAAAAAACACATTTCATAAAAATGTAATGTTGTTTTTGCTTGATTATACCCTTGGAAAAGCTGCACAGTTTGAACACCACTTTGTACATTTTGGGAAACGCAAAACTCCTGGTCCTATACAACCTTCTTGCAACTATTAATAACTGTGGGATGTTTGGAAACAGAAATAGAAAATTCTCATTTGCAGTGTATATGTACTACAATACATTTATTACATGCAAGAAAGTTTATGATGGAAATTTCCTATTTAATGGAACAAACTTACACCCTGTAGAACATAGAGAAAATGCATTGAACTTTATTAGAGGAACTTAGAGGACACCAAAAGTGGCAGACGAGGGGACACGCTGAAAGCTACTCAGTCTCTGAAGTCGTCCTCTGAGCGATCAAAGTGCAGCACATGGTCCTCCAGTCCCAGGTGGTCCAGCAGCTGGCTGAGGCTGGCCTTCTGCCCATTGACGGGTAGTGCCGCCTGGAGCTCATAGAGTACAGCCTGGCAGCAATGCCTCCACTTGTGGATGAGCCCTGTAACCTGTGTCAGGTCATTCTGGCAGGAAAAACAGATGTACTCAGCAATGGCTTACACTTATTCACAGGACTGGTGACTATATGTAATCTATAATTTTGCACAGGCATTTAGAATACCATGTATGGGGACAGTTTGTAGCTCTGTGGGTAAGGACAATATGCCTGTAATTGGCTAGTTGCTGGTTCAAATCTGTGTTGGCAGAAAGATTTCACCTTTGATCCTTTAAGCAAGGCCCTTAACCCCCAATTGCTCCAGGAACTGATTAACACTCTCAAAAATGTATGTTGCTTGCAGGGTTTTGGGCCCCATGAAAACATATTATATTCCAAATTTTTTAGGGCCAGTCACTTGGGGCCCTTGGAATCTTCATAAGTTTCCCCTGCTTCATGGCGCCCCTGGTTGCATGGGACAAAAATGTCTGCTAAATAAATAAAATGAATATATATTTCGGATCTCTACCTTTCTCCTGTACATTTTGGCCATCTTCAGTCTCCGCAGTGTTTCTGTCTTTTCCCTGACTTCTCTTCTCAGTGTGTCACGCAGCTGCAGCAGGTCAGATTGCTCAGGCTCCCTGCCATCACCTGGCACCTCCGAGACCGGGGCTCCTTCACGGGTCGCAGGTTTCCCAGTCTGGTTTCCAGTTATGTCAGTCTGGTGATCTCTCTCACACAACTCGTTGTTTGACATGTCGGCATTCTCAGTCTCTTTTACTCCGGCTGAATCTGTCCTATTATCTTCCTCCGGGTCGACTTTCAGTCTTTTCGCCACCGATAAACTAGCATTAAACGAGCGTCGTGACTTTTTCAGTCTGTCCCTCAATGAAGCGCTCATGGGCTGAAAGACAGAACAGAATAGGGGGGAGTTTTAATAAAGATCGGCCCCGAATACACTATGCACTTTAACGAGCAGATCAATGCCCATTTTATGTGATGGAATAGAATGACAGCAGTAAATAGCTGAAACTGAAAACACTTGAGATGTACATTAGTGCAAAAAAATATAAAACCTGCTCGTTTATCAACGCCTACCTTGGGTGTTTTATATCCACTTGCCCCGGCATTAACCGAACTTTTCGGTGTACAGTTAACAGGTTTTGATTTTAATGCATTTGGTGTTTCCATTCCGACTCTCGATCGCAAAATTATGTAATAAAATGATAAGGCATCTATCTCGATACAAATCAATAAGTTTTGCTGCTAGCCGAAAAAGTGCACAAGATGACAATTATCGATACGTACACATTATGTTGTAAACCAGGTAAATAGTTAGTTAAGTATAACCTAGCTATGTGCTACCTACTTTAATTAGTTAGCAGCAATGAACAGACATATATCGAAAACATGTTAAGGCGCCAAGCGTTTCCATGAACCAAAACCAATAATACAACAAGCAAATATTGCTAATCACACTACCAAAAGGCTACAGACGAAGATGATATTACAATTACATAAATACAGCGTAAAGTTCTTGAATAAATAATGGTTTTCTCTTTCGAAAGCTACCGCTTAAATTGGCGAAACAAAACAGAAGTTTTCAGTAGAGGGTCGGGTGCGCATGTACAAAGGGCATCATGGGATTTGAAGTTTTTGCATGGATCCGTCGTACGCCTAATATGCTTTTGATTTATATATTTATACATATTATTCACCTATTATTCGCATATATTATCCATATATCCCTACTGTAGGAAGTGATAGTAAGTGATTTTGAAAGCTATTATATGTTTAATCTCTGGTTCACTTGGCCTAATATTAGGACATCACGTAGTTTAAATAGGCTTTACTACGAATTGTGATGGTAGATATAAATACATCGTTAATAAGAAAATATAACCCGAAACGTCCAGTGATCAAGTCTCTCAATAGAGTACTATCTTTAATGTAATAAACAAAATCTCTAGTTCCATGTGCCATAAGCGCGAAGGTGTGAACTGAGCTCTGCCATGCCCTGACTTGAATTGAAGCCCTGGTTCACGTCTCTGAAATTACCTGCCTCAAGGTATCATTTTTTTTTTCCATTTTAAATGGCTCTTCATATGGGGTGGGTTTATAGCTGTTAATCTTTTCTTGAGTCATTGGGCAGATTTTTCTTTTTTCATTTTTTTTATGAAATTACTTAGTCATAAATTGGTTGTAGCTGAATCTTAGGCTGGGAGCATGCTGGTTCAGTGGGAAACACTAATACCTCATTCCTCTAGGGTTCTAATCCCATCTTTCCATCTTGCGCTTTGTGTTGTGTGGGTTTCCTTGGGGTACTCTGTTTGTCCAAAGACATACAATTGGGCTTCTTCGTGTCACTGTATTGAGTATGATTGTGTATGTATGTGCCCTCGATGGACTGGCATCCCATTCATAGGGTAGCAGCAAGATTGAAGCCTACGTTATGAAGAACAAGGCATATCCTGAACAAGATGCCAGTCCATCACAGAGTACTTATGAAGAGCTATTTATGGATGGTAATCCATCAAAATGATGTCTTAGGACAATGAGAAGAAACCCAGAACCAACAGAAAGTAAACAATCTAAGTTGAAAAATACAGTCAAAGGACTGAACCTTGGTTGTTGATTTACTCCTGTTCTGGAACATTGTCCTGTTGTTAGAACCAGCCTCATTTGAGTTTTAGAACACAGAGAGGTGTCTTTACATGGTGTAGTAATATTTCTTGATGCAATTTGGAATTGCCTCAGTTGTCCATTGGTCCATGAATGTTTGCAAGCCATCCAGTCTCAAAGGCAGCAATGCAGGCTGACATGCTATATGCTGAATTGGTATTTTCTACAAACACTATGCTGTGTACATTTACCAGCGTTTGTCTCGTATATATACAGAACATTATTTCTGTTGTGGAACCTCAAAGTTGTCTATAGAAAACTTGAGAGAGCAGTGTTTCCTTCACGGTGACCTCCCTTGAACAGCCCTCTTCGTTAAGGGTTTTCCTTATGGTAGACACTCACAGGTATTATTAGGTGCAAGAGATGCCTGCACCTTCTTAGCCGTCATCTTAGGGGTGTTTTGTATCTTGTATGTAGCGTGGCCTTGCACTGCTCTATGTAGGATGCTCAGTCATAGGGATTGTACCAATGGTACAGAATTTCATCCATTTGTAAACTTTCTGCCTGATCATGGTCCGATAGAGGCTCAAGTCTTTAGAAATCCTTTGCAGACATTCAGAAGAATTTCAGGTTTGAAGGATTCAATAATAGAAAGACAGCCATAGATAACGGTAGGTTATCTGCCCTTCAGCCTCCTGGAGTAGCCTAGCCTGTATTTGTCATTACTTTGGTTTAAATTGTTTTGCTTAATTTACTTTCTGCAATTCCTCTACCTCAAGATAATCACATTGGCTTTCTCCATTGCTTGGCTGCGTCATTTTAATAATGCATAATATGATACATAATAACCATACAATATTATTGTTTTTTTATGTGTGAACTTATTTTTTAAGTACGGCTGAACTGTACTAGAAAAAAGTTTACATTGCAATATTCGAAATTTTCATGATAAATATTGCAGTATTTAAAAAACAAAAAAGGTCAGCTTTACACTGATTTCTAAAACATCTACCAGACAGAGTCGAAAAGGAACAATCAGTAAAATTGCAAAGCTTGATAAGGTTTGTGTCCTATGACAGAGAAAAAATATTTTAGGGCAGCTTACTAATGGTCTCAGCCCAGCAGACTATCCCTGCAATGTGAATTGGAGGACAGAGTGTGACTGTGCATCCTGCCATGGGTTGGTTCCTGTCTCAAACCAATTGTGATATACAATGCATAATATTATATTTTATATATGTGTGTATTATATTGTATATGAACAATTACTCAATTGGTAGATTACCTGATTAAAAATATATCCAATATGAAGTATCAAGTATCAAGTGGGTCTTTATTGTCATACCATCTATATATAATCCACAGCATATAGTGGCATGAAATAACATGTGGTGCAGTGTTGGGCAGTATCCACTGGGCAAAGTGCTGGGCTAGTACTGGTGTTAAGGTTTATAACAGGGCTGCTGAAGAGTTAAGAGTTCTAACAGCTCTGGGGAAGAAGCTTCTGCAGAACCTCTGCCAGAAGGGAAGGAGACAAAGAGAGAGCGTGAAGGATGGGAAGGGTCTTCCACAAAGCTGGAGGCCTTGCAGATGCAGCCCTCCAGGAAGACGTCCTCAATGGAGGGTAGAGGGGTCCCGATAATATTTCTAGCTGTGTCGGCTATCCGTTGTTGGGTTTTGTGGTCAGAGACGTTGCAGTTCCAAAACCAGACAGTGACGCAGCTGGTGAGGACACCTTCAGTGGTTCCCCTGTAGAATATGATGAGGATGTGAGGTAGCAGACTCGCCCTTCTCAGCCAGTGAAGGAAATGGAGATGCTGCTGTGCCTTCTAGGCTAAGGAGGTGGTGTTGAGGTTCCAGGTGAGGTCAGCTGCCCGGTGTACTCTAAGGAATTTGCTGCTCCTGACCAACTCCACCACAGAGCCCTCAATGTGCAGTGGGAAATGGACAGCATGCGCCTTCCTGACCTCAACAAGCATCTTTTTCATTTTGATCACATTAAGGAAGACAGACTGTTGTACTTACACCAGTCGTTATATTTCCATCGTGTATGCCGACTCATCACTGTCACTAATGAGACCAAACAATGTTGTGTCATCAATATTTTAAGAACTATTTTATAGATTGTGATGAATTGACTATGCATACCATAAAAGCCCCCTTTAAATTAGATTGAATATTTCCAATAAAAAGCACAAAATGTTTTATCAAGATGTTCTTGTAGATCTTATCCTCCCACACCTCATCACATGGTAGGGTGTCAACTGATAGACACAGTGTAGACATAGACAGCTTGCGCACACTTGCATAAACCTAGATAATGGACGGATCCAACAAAATGAATTATATTACCCACTGTGAGTCATAATTGCAACACCGAGTAGAAATTATTCAGCTCCACATGGGGGGAGACTTGATTGCTGGCAGTTTTGGTTTCTAGGTTACCTGCCACAACCCATCAGCATGTTCAGACTATGCCTACAACTGAGCATGAACCAGACAAGTTTTCATGAGAACACAGAAAATATATTTTACTCTGCAGTAATGGTAAAAACTGATGATCCAGCATCAGACCTCATCAGTATCCCTTGACTAGCTTCATCCAACAGTGAGGGTGGGCAGTGTGATCCACAAAGGGCCGGTGTGTGTGCAGGTTTTTGGGAGAACCTTTAGTTCGGCTCTTTAAAGAGTGTATGGAAAATGAATGAATAGGTCTAATTGGTCCAGCCAAATTCCCCCAGGTGTCAGTGTCATTTAAGGATTCCATCTGAACACGACCAGGTGGTTCTGAGAATGAGCTGGTCCATATTTTGAGGATGATCTGGCTGCGCTTCATCACAACCACCAATCTGTCCTCTGGAAACAAGAACATGTTACTAATTGGTGCTTGAAAACGGTGAGTCAGGCAGGTGGATTTTTCTCAAGGGTGTGGAGGGTGGAGTGCATGCATTTATGTGTTAGTTTGTGGGGGGGCGGGTTGTTATTTGATGCCTCAGGACAGCAGATGCGAGGCTTGTGTGAACCTGGATCATCTAAAACACATCCCATCCCAGGATAAATTAAAATTACTGAGTATGTAAGCCCTACTACAATGAAATGAGCTGCATTGTTTTAACTTTTAGGCAAGATAAAATAAACAACATGGTCTCGAACTGTTAAAGGGAACTCTGCCAATTCAAATCAACTGGTGGCAGAAAATGACATCATAGCTTCACATCCACCTATTCTGTACCCTACAATACCCACATTGGCATGACAGATTGTCCTTTCGATTGAGGCACTACCTCATGCCAAAAAAAAAATAAAATTTTTTACTAATTGATACTATATTGTTCCCCATGGGGAAATTCTCTTTATGCCTCTCCCCAGACTTTGCCTCTCTGTTTGGGAGAGAATTCCAGCTGTGAAAAACAACCACCTGTTACAGTACCTAGGACTTAAGGACCTTACTAAGGGACCCCCTCAGTTATTCCAAGGCTGGGCTTGAACCTGCAACCTTGTGATCACAAGCACATAGGCTCAGCCCACTGAGCCACATTTTGCACCTTTTCAATAGTTGGTGTGCATTTTGGGAACTGTTCTCTCAGCATCTGCCAAACAATTAAGTAAAAAGATATGTTTGGATGGAAACACATGATCATTACAATTACCCCAATTCAGATAACTGATACAAACATTGTAACAATGTATTGACTCGGGCCCAAAAGCTGTTATCTGCTACATTATAACTCTATGCCTCCTTTGAAAAAGCACCAGTCTTGTACTTGCAAGTTGAATGGAGATGGAGGAAAACATCTTCCAGATAAACATGCTATAATAACAGCATGTAAGACTGATCCCAGTGCAGCTAGTAGTTAAATCACAAGCCCAAACAATCTCCCACTGTGTACTGCGAGCCCTTAGTAAACAGTCAGCAACAGAAGCATTTATGATAATGGTGTTAAAAAGACGTTAAATTATGTAGCAGCAAATAGGAACATGAGTGAACTGACAAGTCCTGAACAGGTAAGCCGTTTTTTTTTTTAAAGTAGTTTTGACTAGTTTAGGGTAACCTCTTAATGAAGTGTTTGCTTCTTGTCAAATTATTCAGGTACCGCAGTAATTTATTTGCTGTATGAATTTTTAAATAAGACGCCGGCTATCTATAAGAGTCTTAGCTTGTCACTTTGTCTTACCGCTCATTAAATTACCTGTGTGACGTGTCGCTCATCACATGCAGAAGTTTGATTCTACGAATTTTCCTGACAAAGAGGACTTTTGTAAACCTTCCATCAGACAGGTAAAGCATTTCAAACGAGTTCAACTCCAGCTGACCCTGAAAACTAAGTTTGTTTTTTTTCACCAGTTAAATGGTCATTGGACATAAAGTACCGATACAATTCCAGATTACAGCCATAAGATGTGTATTAAACACGGGTATTATATATTTTACATCTATAAAGTGTATTTGTTCATATGCATATAAATACTAAAATGCTACTGCAAACGTTAATGTTAAAAGTCAGTGCAGTTTAGCCACAGTTTCCTGGGCCACTACACCCATCGAGTCCAGCCCCATCCCTATTGCCGGTCAGCAAATTCGGATTATAGTATGAAACTCATAACCCGGGGGGGTTAGTATACCTTCGCACAGAAGCGTCTGCCTTCCGAGCACCCGCCATGGGTGCGGTCGAGGACAGCCCCTGTGATGTTCAGACTTGCCCCTGGAAGTGGAGAGAAAGTTGTCCTCATAAAACATAAAAGCATAAAACCAGTAAGAGCAGAAAGGGCTGGACGCGCACCTAGACTCCATCCGAGGCGCACTGGCAGAAGTGATCACCAAGTTTCCTTCTTCACCTTCTCCTAATTTTGGTTTTGATAATTCTCCTTGCAATTTGGGATTGAAGGTATGAAGCATGCTTATAAAGTATAACTTATGGCTATTGTAAGGCTTAGTACAAAATCAGTGAATTCCATGTTTAACACACTTGTTTGTTCTGGTTCAGACACCGATGGTGACTGGACTATTGGAATCTCTTAGTAATATTCGGTTTTCTCTCAGTCTAACAATTATGCCGTTATATGATTCATTATATGCTTTGCAATTGTGACAGATTCTGTTTATTCTACGTTTTCATTGTACGTTTTATCTTGACGATAGATGTTGTGGCTTCTATCCACCTGTTAAACACCGAGTGCAAATATACTTTTGGGGTTTAACGTTTATTGCAGATAGGAAAGTCATTTTATTCTGATTGGTCATATCGAACTTTCTTACACATACTTTAACAGAATTCATGCATTTAATTAAAAAACAGAGTTAGATGAATATATAAATAACAATAATAACGTTAGGTTTCAGCGAATATTTATATTTCTTAGAAGATAATACTATTAAACTTCGTAGTTAACAGTAAAGTGTAAATACCTTGTTGGCTGCTTATTTTCAGGTAGGCTAATTGTAGCAAACGGTAAATATCAGACTAGACGGATGATTCTCAGTACATTATCTAGTTCAAGTTCGAAATAACTTACATTAAATCAGAAATTCTTTAATTGAATGTCTGCTATATTTAATTCTATACAAGTTGCACGCCTCCCTGTCCTATATATACAGTACCAAGCCAATTTTCACGCAGCTTGAGTGTTTGTAATAAGTCAAATGACAAGGTTAGTAGCCTAAATGTCAAATGAATAAAAGTAACAAAGGTATTTTTCCTTTAGGTGATTATGCTGGTTAAAATGTGTTTTGTTTATTCATTCTTGTCTGGTTAATTTCGTTAAATCAGAGCAGCGTGGTTCGGGTTGTTTCTATTGTTTGTACACTGGGCATGGTGCGTGTCTGCTTGCGTGAATACCGGCCCAGCAGCTGGACGGGAGCGGAGCCGTTGGGTGTGGCTCAGGACTGGGGGCGAAGCTTTGTGGGAAACTGCACAGAAGCACATCAAAGCCATTGTTGCTGGGAAACTGGAGAATGAACATAAAACGCTTAAAATGGCAGCTATGACCTCTGGTGGCCGCACATCACGGTGTCTGTCTGCTGGTTGTCTCTTACCATTTAAAAAAGGTGATTAATTCCTGTTTAGATAACGTTACGTTACGCATTGTGACTCATAGACACTGAAATGTCTATGTCCACCAAGCTAATTATGGCGTTTAGCTGCTTATCTCTTCCACTGTTGGAATGCTGGGAAAATCCGAGCAGTAACTTAAAGTTATTAGATTACAAACTGATCAATGATCAAGTTAAGATTACTTTAAGATAATAGCTTCCCTTATGGTTTTCGAGGTTGCGAACTCTCATGCTTCTGGCTCACGCAACAAATCTTCCAGCAAATATATACAATTCCATTATAAACCTAAAATTACCCCACAGACTATTTACAATGTAATAAATTGAAATCAAATTGAAAATCTTAAAATCACACTCCAACCAGATCAAGGGCGTAACTTTGGCTGGAACATTGCGGGGGGGGGGTTGAGGTCTCCACCCATTACGGGGGAAACATGATTACTGGGGGGGGGGGGTTTATTAGCTGGTTTTGATTTATTGGGGGGCTACATCCCCCCCACATCCCCCTGTAATCTACGCCCATCATCCAGATGACCCAAGTTGGCAGCCCTTGCATGGGTATAGTGTGTTCCTGGCGTCTTCTGAACCAACCTCGAAGCGATGTATTTTTCTGTGGGTTCGAACTTTCTGCCTCTGATTGGGAGGTTTCTGGTTCAAATCCTGGTCGGCGGAGAGATTTCACAGTTGGGCCCTTGAACAAGGCCGTTAACCTCAATTGCTCCAGGGACTGTCTGACCCAGCTATCTCAAGTGTCTGTTGCTGTGGATTAAGACATTCGCTAAGTAAATCTTGCTACTGTTGTTTAGCGGTGAAATGGACACAGTTGTTTGGTAAACGCCACAGTGTCGTGGAGGAATCCCTGCTTTTTTGTTGCTAGAGGACCCATATGACTAACACACTGGGGTCCTGTATCATTCCAAGTTATTTTGCTGAGAATTTTTTTTTTTTAATGGACAAAAACCTTGCCCCAAGCTACTCATCTTATATGTAATTTAGTGGTAATGATAGCAACCGAAAATTCGAGATTATTTTTGTCTGACCAGCTGGAAAAAATATATCAAGCTATGTGTATGCATATGTTTGTAATTATATAGTTAACAATGGATTTTGCCCTCATATCTGCTGTAAATATCTTTTATGAAGGATAAGTGTACGTCAAGAATCTGTTCATTTATCTGCATACCCAAGGAAGGATGGAATAAAGCAATTCCAATGTATATTAGATATTACTAATAATGTGGACGTGTACAGTAGCTGAAATTAGACTGCAATGCATTGTATGTTTTCTAATTTACAGTTATGGAATGGACAGTTTGACAAGGTACAGACACACTTCGGGTGGGAGATCGGAATCTCTAGGCAAAGGTAAGAATGCTTTGTGTGACACAGAGATCAGGAAAAAATATATGATTAAAGGCTCTAATGATATAAAGCACCATAATTAGTTTGAATGTTTCAGATGTGTTTTAATGGTCTTCCAGCCCCATCATAAGGCAGAGACTGCCCTCTAGTGATGAGCGGTTAGGAGACGGATGGAATATATTGGCTTTCAAAGTATTAGTGACGTTTAACTGAGAATTGGAGCTTTTTTGTATGGATTTCAAATAATATCATGAATTTTATGTTTGTACTGTATGTACTTTTCCCAGTTGTGACAGAAAATATCACCAAGAGTACAACACTGGCATCGTTGCCTCCCAGTAAGTTTTCCTTGCAGTGGAGATCTTTCTGCTTGTTCAGCTGCACGCTCACGATTGTTGAGGTTATTCCTGTCCTTGCCTCAAGTTTCAGCAAAGCTGTAAGAATCTACACTTGACTCTGAAATTTCTAAGTTGCGTTATGTTTTGTGTTGTGTTAGTCTTTGCCATGTTTCTATGAGGCACCAAAGGATGCTGTGGAATGAGTTTCCAAGCGTAAAATAACAGTGCCGTAGACTCACAATCTCCTTGGTAGATTTTGTTGTGGCCCCCACAGTAACAGTATTATTCTTGTAATATCTTATAGGTGGTGGGTAGGTTGGGGTGCATATTCATAAATACCTATTTAAGTGAATGTGATATTTCTGAGAAATTAGAGAATCACAACTTTTTCCTTTTTTTTTTAACATCTTTTGACTTGAGTGTGCAGCTGACTGGTGTCTCTCTGCCCTGCTGTCCTCAGGTGGAGGTGGAGGGAGTCAGGTTAGGAGTGGCAGGTCAGGCTCTTCCACATCTGGAGGCCTGAGGAGGGGACAGGGCTCTTCCCCAATCTTCATGGAAAGAAAGACCATAACCAGTCGCTCGGCGGGATACGACGGTGAGTTGGTGGTTAATAATGTTCATGCACTGGGCCTGCTGGACCTCATGCATTGAGCCTGTCAGTTGAATGTTCATGCTTCTGGGGCAATCTCCAAACTCATGTTCTTATTGTTAACTCAGTCGTCTGAATGCCTGAGATTGGTGCATGTCGATTCGTACACTAGTTGGGGAAAGGCTTTGCCCCTTTTGTGCATAAATAATCAAAGTGTTACGGAACTGTCCAATTATGTGGACACCATGCATCACAGAAGAAGAAGAGATAAACATAGTGACTTACAATGTGTTTTTAGGCATGTATAGGTCATTCATCAATATTTTCCTTTTACCGCTATTCATAGCAACATCTCATACTGTAGTATTATGATGGTATTTCTTGGCTAGAGTTTGCCTATGCCATATGGTGTTATATACCAGTCATTACCAATATCTTATATTTACTAAAAAATAAACAAACAAACAAACAACCAAATAAATAAATAATTAATAATAATAATAATAATCAATACTTTATTGATCCCCTGGGGAAATTGTCTTTTCGCCTCCCTCAACTTGCTCTTTTTCGTTCAGTAAGCTCTCTGCGAAGGGCAGCCACCCACAGCGGCGCCCAGGGAGGTGGGGGTTAAGGACCTTGCTCAAGGACTTTATTGATCCCCTTGGAGAAATTGTCTTTACGCCTCCAAGCCTCAAGTCAACTGTCCACGAGTTTGGGCGCCATGCATGAAAGAGTTAAATGGCCTCATGTCCTGTTATAATCTCTTTCTTTTCCTCATCAGGAAGTTCCAGTGGAAACTCTTCTCCTGAATACCCAAGGAAGGACTATGGTACTGGTATACTGGTATACCGGAATCAGAACACCTACTCATTAGCACAATTCATAGGCACCCGAAAACTGACTGTAAATTAGTGTTTGAAGATTACAGACCAAAGTAACATCCTCATGTATTTTCTCAGCGTCAGGAGGCATCTGCAGCAGAGGGAGGAGCCAGACAAGAGGTATATTGACAATGTTAAACATTTTCACATTCACAGTCTATTGGAAAGAACATCAGACATATTTTTCCTTTCAAAATCAATATTCAGTGTATCATAAATATCATTTGTATGTTTGTGTTAATTAGTAGTAGGACATGCAGAGTAATACTTTCATTGCATAGTGGAATTGGCTGTTTACTGTGCATACAAACAGACTGTTGAATCTTGTCACCCCTCTGAATGATGTGGCTGCAGTGGTACCCAGCTAAATAGCTAATGCGATTAATTTGGGTAACCTGCCCCTTCACAGAGAGTGAGATCCGAGCTCGGCTGCAAAGTGCTTCCCCTTCAACTCGATGTGAGTAGCTCTCTGCTCCGTGTCGGTCTCATGGTGGCCCCTCAGATCCTATCAGACTCTTACATTTGCACGGAGTTCGGTTAATGGACTTGAACTGATGCTGGTTATACTGATGACCTGGTAACTCCAGACTTGAAGCAGTGCTTCTCCTTCGCAGGGACGGAGCTGGACGAGGTGAAGAAGCTGCTGAAGGGCAGCAGGTCTTGCAGCGTGAGCCCCACCAGGTCCCCCTCCAGCACCCTGCCCATCCCCAGGAAGGCCAGTGTGGAGACCAGGATTATTTCAGAGCCCTCCCAGTCAGGTACGGAATTATCACTGATTTTAATCTGTATCCTGATTTATTTTTGAAAATGTATCATGTACCTAGGGGAAATGTAAACACCTAGGCAGGCTTTGTGCTAACCCATTGACTGTTTGTTATCTGTGCTCTCTGTTCCAGTCTGTGGTTTTCCGAATAACCTGGGTACTGCTTCCACCAGCTTTCTGAGCAGTTCAGGTGTCAACGTGGGAACGAGCACTGGAGCCAACGCCGGGGTCACCCCCCATTCCGGTAACATCTAATCTGGGAGTGAGAAATTTTCGCTGTTCACCCAAGCGCTGTATGAGGTGTATTATTCAATTTCTCTTTATCGTGATTGTAATTTCGTCTAAGTGTATGACTCATGGATCGTACAGCAGAAGTTGCCAATAAGAATCTTGACTCACGCTTTTAATTAGGGTAATCTACAGGTATTTCGGCATCAAAGAGAGAATGCCATTATTGTCACAGTAAAGGTGAAATCAAATACAGCCTTTTCTTGTTACATTTTCTTTCTTATTAGGCATGCAAACATAAGTGAGAGTGAAGCTTGTGGTCACAGTACAAGCTTAGCCATTGATCCAGCAACCATGGGGAAGTTTTAGGGGTTAAGGACCTTGCTCAAGCGGCCAGCAGTGATATTGCTGTTCTGCCAGCCATTGGTTTTGACAGAAAAATCTAACAGTCCGGTTGTGTTGGCCAGGAATCAAACCAGGATCAACTGCTTGGAAGGCAGCTATGCTAACCACTAGTGATGGCCAAATGTAGCGTCATGAACCATTTGCTGTATTTCTTGACCCCACTAGATGGCGCTCTTGGTTTGCTTTGGGGCATGCTTTGAGTCCTTTTTTTGAACAGAGAGCACCATCTAGTGGGGTAAGAAAATACAGCAAATGGTTCACAAAGCTTCATTTGGTCATCACTAGTAACCACTGTACCACCAACATTTTAGTTATGCATGCTTGTGCATACTTAGCCAGGTGGGATGTTACACAGATGCTCATACAAGTAGCTATAGTCTATGACATCACCTGAGCTGCTACTTAAATTTACTGGCATCATAGTGTTGCACATTAAGTAACCAGTGGTTGTCTTTCCAGTTTCAGGGCAGTATGAGAGCACAGTTCTAGGTTCTACATCTCCATCCTACTTGTGGACCAGTTCCACTCTCCCATCAGGTGGCTTCCAAACCAACACCAAGAACCTGTCCCCCACCACCTCACCCTCCTTGCTGCCAGGTTAGAGCTCCTGTTTGTAACCAGATCCTATGAAGGATCTACTGTCTTTCCTGGTAGCTTTTATGCACTGAAGGCTAATTGGCATATATGCTCATGTGATTTTTTTTATAGGCTTTGGGGTCCAGAACAATCTCACCCTCAGCTCCATACCAGGGAACAGCTGCAGTACAGGTTTGTGCCCACACTGCTCCCACTGCCAAGCTAATCCTATGTCACAGAACAATATTGTTCTGTTATACCTATATTTACAGAACTATGTGTATATATAAACTGTTAGAATTCTATACTCGTACCCTTTGTCTCCGAATAGATTTTATGCTTTCTGATTTACTAAAAAAAAAAATGATGTACCTAGGGGAAATGTAAACACCTAGGCAGGCTTTGTGCTAACCCATTGACTGTTATCTGTGCTCTCTGTTCCAGTCTGTGGTTTTCCGAATAACCTGGGTACTGCTTCCACCAGCGTTCTGAGCAGTGCAGGTGTCAACGTGGGAACGAGTACAGGAGCCAATGCTGGGGTCACCCCCTATTCCGGTAATGTCTAATCCGGGAGTGAGAAACTTTTGCTGTGCACCCAAGCGCTATATGAGGTGTATTATTCAATCTCTGTTTATCATTTGCAGTTCAAATGGAATGATTTGTCCTTTTTTGCTCGCTGAGCAGGTGAATGTGTTATACTGGCAGAATGAGAGGGGATAGATGTATTACTTCCTGTAGCTGAACAAACAGTTCAGTTGCACTATCAATGCAAAGATTGTGGGTTTGAATTCCAGGAAACGTGTCAATTGTAATTCTTCCCTCTGATGTAAGTTGCTTTGAATAAATGCATCAGATAAGTATAATATAAACAACCCTGGTCTTGCTTTAGCAACCAGGAACACACGTCACAAGCAGGGCTGCCTCTAGCGTCGGGCGGAATAGGCATTTGACTCCTAATTTATCTGCTTGATGGAGGAAGTGAGGAGCCTCGCAGATAAAGCTTTGCCCTGAAGAGGTAGAGCCAGACCTGATCGCAAATGTTACCTTTTCACAGAATACAGCACAAGTCTGAACCTATTATACTCACGTAGCATCTAAGACTGGAAGAATTGGGCGGCTAGAACAAAACAATACCTTACAGCAACCACCCCTAGGTGGCGTTTTATTATGCATCGATCGCTTCAGTGCAGTGCAATAGCAATTGTTCACCTCTAGGTGGCACTGATGGGCAAAAAACATCACATGCGGCAAACACATCATCAGTATAAAATGAAATGCTCTACCCGTATGTTAAAATTAAACCGCTTCCTGGTTAGTTGAGTTCAATTTTCATTCTGAAATTAGTTTATTGCAATGGCAATTTAAATCTGATTTCAAAACTGACGAAGGTGGCAATGTGCAAAAATAGAATGACACTTTGTGTTTGGTAACATAATTATTAAATGCGAATCATAGATGATAATATTTGGCGTTTTTTACATTCTTTTTTTTATGTTTACCATGATATTTTACTGTGTAAGTGGTTATGGAAGATTTTTTGGTGCTTTAATGGTGATTTTTCTTGCTGTCAAAGCTGATTTTAGTAGTTCAGATCATGTTCAATATGTTTTCTGAGGTCTGCAGTATCCTTTTAGCATTCATGCTAATTTTTATAGTATTATATTATATGCAACCAAATGAGCAGACTTGTGCAGAAGATACTACTCAGGAAGTAAGTGAAGCATCACAGAACTTGATAATATATAATTCCTTTGGAAATAATGAGTCCCCAGAATGTAGCCTGTAGATTCTGTATAATAAATTGTTAATTTACACAGATTTATATTGGGACCTATTTTGGTGAGTGTGAATTGATGGCTGCAGATGACCAATGCTTGTCAAAGTTATACACTACAAAAGTTTATTTTCGCTGAAAAAAATTCAGCGGGGCCCATCTATAGCCGGAAAAACATATTAATAGTGATATTTAATCCAGCATGAACATGAAAAAAGTATCCTAATGCTTACAATGACATTGTCCTAGGGAATACAGTCAAGCTGCATAATGACGACACGCTCCTTAAAGACTATAAGTTCCTGTTGCTGGAGAAGGAGAACATTCCAGCCAAGAAGGACAAAGAACTTCTCGTCATGAGCAAAAACAGCGGCAAGCAGTTCAGAGAAAGATTAAGAGACAGTAAGGACACATTCTCTCTCTTGAAATGCATTTTGATCAAGCCTTCAAATAAACACCATTTTGGTGCACATCTATTAATTAGATTAATAGACACTGAGAGACCATCCTGCTGAATTAGCGATACCCAAGTAGCTGGTTCTCCCTGACAGGCACTTGTTCAGAAGACTCCGTACAGAAAGAGAAGGAGGTATCCATTGCAAAGCCTGCATTTTTGCAGTACAGCCAGGACAGCTGTAAGTGGAACCCAAAGCACATCAAAATATCACTAGTTACAGTATCTTACACATTGCCTGAATTGCATGTGAAATCTAACATTATTTCTTGTATAGATGGGCCCTTAAAGGCTTCTACGAAGGACAAAGCCACATATGCAGGTATCATTGTTGTCTCATACTCATAATTAGTACAGAGTTGGACACATCAGTTGATTCCTCAGTGTCAGTGCTGGTGCTATGGCAGTTCTCTGCTCCCCCACAGAGATCCATAAAGGGGGGGACTCCACAAAGGCAGGAGCAGGCTTCTGTGGGGGCGGCTCCTGCTGCAGCTGGTGGAAGTGGTTGCTGGGATTGCTACTTGGCCTGCTGCTTCTGTTGGGTCTGCTCTTTGGACTTATTGCCCTCGGTAAGTCTTCTTGTGTAACATTTCCATGGTGAGAACACTTCTGTGAGATCACATGGATAAGACCACTTTCAAAATGCTGCCTGGGTAATTTTACATGGGTGAGACCCACTTGGGTGAAAATGGCTGGGTGAGACCATTTGGTATAGACCTCCAAGTGTTTATATCATCTGTTTAGATCCACTTAGGTAAGTTAAGCTGTATACGCTCGCTCAAGTAAGGTCACGTGAACAAGACTGCTCACATTAAATTTGCCTCTGCACCACCTGGGTTAAGACCACTGCAGGGAAATAAGATGCAGTGACGTTGCAGTGGGGGTCTACCTCTTCGTGCGGCAAGGTGAGCTGGTTGGTGCTCAGTGTGTTTTTCTTCGTTGACCCCTCACCTACAAAGCGGAGGAGGTGAAGAACCTGAAGAAACGCGTTACAAACCTGGAGGAAAGACCCCACAGCGGTCGAATGTTAGGCTTGGAAATGAGCGGTGTACCTAATATGGACCAAGGCAACCTCCAGCAAACTGTGCAGCAGCTAATGAGGTCCGAGCTACAATCAGAATCATTCAGAGGTAAAAGACCCACGTGGGCAGTATGTGATCCTGCACTGAACTTGATTGTTGAATATCTCTCCTTTACTTGACAATCACAGTGAAAGTTATATTTGACACTAACATACGTAAAATGTAATGTAATGAATCGTACTGAAACCTAATTTTTGGTGAAACAAAAATATTTACTAATGTTTATATCGGTTAAAGCTGCTTTTGCATCCTCCATGAGGGGAGAAAAAGGAGAACCAGGTCTCAGAGGTAAGACCTGCTCACACTGTGTGTTAATATATTTATGTATCAAGTTACTCAGTCATTGCTACTCAGTCACTGCTACCTACCTCAGTCAAATGCCAATGATAGGAAATTACAAATCAAGGGAAAGCAGTTTTCTTACCTCTTTTTATACTCCATGTTGCAGGTGATACAGGATATCCGGGACCTAAAGGTCAGTATATAAGACATTGTTTGTAGTTTTAGGTTGCTCATGGGAGTTTTACTTATACAAAAATGTTCTAAGGGCAGAAGCAAAAATGATTGGTTAAGCGAGATAACCAATGAGATTGTAGAGGAAGTGGATCCAAGCAATTAGAGGAGGCAGGACCAACCAATCAGGTGTCTTGGTCACGTCTCCTCTAGTGGCTTGGACCCACTTCCTCTACAATTTAATTGGTTGTATCTCTGAATCAATAATTTTTCCTTCTGCCCTCAGAAAATATTTGTGTAAGTAAAACTCCCATGAGCTTTTAGTTTCCTGTTGATAGGGTACAGAAGTACATAGCTGACCTTCAGACCAGAATGACAGAGGTTGTGTAGAGTGTGTATGTAGTGCTCTGCAGCAAGGGTGTAAAACAATGCACTGATTCTGGTGTGTTTCCACTCTTGGTTCCAGGTGACACAGGTTTGCCAGGAGTGCCAGGTGAGTCTAGAACTTGTTCTGGAGCTGGTCTCCTGGAATTCTCAGGTTAGCAGAAACTTACAGTGCTGGCACACTGTGCTTCAGGTTCACCTGGGCCCAAAGGTGATATTGGACACGACGGAACCAAAGGTCAGAAAGGAAGTCAAGGTAATGACAGAAAACAGATTCCACTGGATAGATTCAAGGCAAAAATTCCTCAAGGCAAAAATGTAGTCTGTGAGATCACAGAGATGTGTCACTGTCCTTTGTACAGGGGACCATGGAACAGAAGGCTCACCTGGGCCCCGGGGACGAGAGGGGCCTGCGGGGCCACGTGGGGAGGCCGGGCCTCCTGGAACTGGAGAAAAAGGGGACAGAGGTTTGACAATCAATTAATGTGAGAAATTAAGTTTTAAAGCCTGCAGTGGGAGAAGATTTCCACTGCATTGAGCCAGTGAGCACTGTATCAACACTATATCAATAGTATATCAACATTAAACTAGCACCAAGTCAACATTATAATAAACAGTAGTTTTGGAATTTGATGATCTTAACTTAGTTGGTGTTGTTTTCCTGTTGTCATACTTTCACAGGTTCTTCTGGTGTTCCTGGGCTTCCGGGGCTTGTTGGGCCACCGGGTCCAGTGGGACCCAAAGGTATGTCAGCTTGCTGCTGCACCAAGCCTTGGTTCTGGCTTCATTAAAATAATTAACCTTTTTTTGTTCTTCACTTGACAAATGGATGTTAAGCTTATTTCCTTTTGGTGTTGAAGGCTTTGCAGGTACGCCTGGCGCCCCCGGTGTTCACGGTGAGTTACTGTTTCCTTTCTCTCAGCCATTATACTGGAGTTTTGTATAACATAAATTTCAATTTTAGGACCACTATTGTCACCAATGTTGACACCAATACATACAGTAAACTGGTTAAATTTGCAGACGACACCAATTTGGGTGGTGTAGCAGATACTGATCTAGCAGCACAGAGGCTACAATGGGATCTTGATTTAATTAGTGACTGGGCTGATACCAGGCAGATGAAATTTAACATAAATAAGTGTAAGGTAATCCATGCAGGGAGCAGAAATATAAAGTACAGATATTTTATGGGTCCCACTGAAATAAAGGTAGTTGATTTTGAGAAAGACCTTGGTGTGTATGATGATGCTTCCATGTCCCACTATCGCCAGTGTGAGGAAGCAATAAAAAAGGCCAATAGGATGTTTGGTTACTAGGTGTGTGGAGTTTAAGTCAAGGGAGGTGATGCTACGATTATACAATTCCTTGGTAAGATCCCACCTGAAATATTGTGTGCAGGTTTGGTCACCATACCTTAAAAAGGACATTGTTGCCTTGGAAAAGGTTCAACATAGGGTTACAAGAATGATTCCTGGTCTTAGAAGAATGAGAGGTTAGCTGAGCTGAACCTGTTCAGCCTTGCGCAAAGGAGATTAAGGGGGGACATGATCCAGGTATATAACATTCTAACACATCTGGATGCTGTTCAGCCAATTGGCTACTTTAATATTAGTTTAGATACTAGAACTTGTGGCCATAAGTGGAAATTAGCAGGAGAACATTTTAAAATGAATTTGAGGAAGCACTTCTTTACACAGCGTGTAGTTAGAGTATGGAATAGTCTTCCTGCTAGTGTAGTGGAACCTAAAACCCTGGGTTCCTTCAAATCAGAGCTAGATACGATTTTAACAACTCTGAGCTATTAGTTAAGTTCTCCCCAAACGAGCTTGATGGGCCGAATGGCCTCCTCTCGTAAATTTCTTGTGTTCTTATGTTCTTAAATAAGAACTGTATAATTAACGTCCGTCTTGACATTTTTAGGAGAACCTGGCGCTCAAGGCTTCCGTGGAGAAAGTGGACCATCTGGAGCTAAAGGTACGGGGTCACATGCGGTGATACTATCTTATTTTCCGAAAGTTGCTGCCTGTCATGCTCTGGTAAGACTTGTGCGTTATGTGTGGTGTTATTGCGCTGACATCCGCAGCTGCATTTTCCCCAAAATCCTGTCTTTTCCTGCAGGGGAGCGAGGGGTACAAGGGAGTCAAGGACCCAAGGGTAGGATTCTGGGATTCTTGAATTGAAATTACTAAATGAAGTTTCATGAACCATTTGCTGTATTTTCTGACACCACTAGATGGTGCTCTCTGTTCAAAAAAGGGCTCAAAGCATGCCCCAAAAGCAAGTCAAGAGCACCATCTAGTGGGCACAGAAAATGGTTCATGAAGCTTCATTTGCTCATCGCTACTTACTTGCCCTCAAATGACTGCATGTCAGGGTTAATTAGTTTGGAGCAGCTTCCATTATCAGAGGGGGCAAATTAGTTAATGTTCTTCTAAGTGACAAGCTTTTGTTTAACTGATACAGGTGACCAGGGAGAGAAAGGACCACGTGGACCTTCAGGTGAGCATCAGATATTACTAGTTCTTCTTCAGAAGCATGTAGTTTATTACTGATGTGGACATACAACTTCAAACCTGGAGATTTCTATTTCCCTCTGTTGTCTCATGAGTTCGAGCTGTTTAGGTGGGCTGATGGTTGGTTGTTGGTTCCCACCCCACAGGTGATCCAGGACTGCCAGGACTTCCAGGCATTGCTGGTGAGAAGGGACCTAAAGGATCTGCAGGTGAGAGGACATTAAAATCCCACAATTCATAAAGCTCTGAAGTATTCCAATGACTGGCACAAAAATTAGTCTGGGCTCCTAGAGAACTAGAGAGTACTGAAGATCTAGATTCACACAGGGTAATTACATAAAATGTAAATTAATCATGGCCTTTATTTCTAGGTTTTCTCAGGAAATTTTAAATTGAAAATGTTAGATAAATCAGTGAAAGTAGTTTAATTATTGCTCAAGTCGTTTCAGGTGATATGTGTTTACATATCCCTCCATTTTCTCACCATCTTGGTCAGGATAGTGGGGGGTTGGAGCCTATCCCAGGCAGGGCACAAGGCCGGGTGCATGCGGACAGCATGGCACACAGTCGCAAGGCAGAAACACGCGCAGTCTCACTCGATGCACGATTTAGAGACACCAGTGATGTTCTTTGGACTGTGGGAGGAAACTCACACGAACTAGCAGAAGCCACACGCATACACACACACACAGACCTGTAATCATATCTTTGTGGGGACCGCTCATTCATTTCTATGGGAAAAATGCTAATGCTAACTATGACACCCTTACCCCCTACCCAGCCATAACCTTAACCATAAGTCCAAAAAAACGGGTGTTCATCATGTCGTAAGGACATTTGGTCCCCACAAAGTAAGTATATCTGGTCCACACACACACAAAGAGCAGGAGGAGGATTCAAAACTGCAAACCTGGCATTGGGAAACAACAGCGCAACCCACAGAGCCACCATATGTATCACTAACAATGCATATACATTGCATTGTTAGCACAATGTCACTTCAAACAACTTATTTGTATATATAAAAGAGAAGCATTATAATGTTTCTAATTTTACACTGAATGCAGTTTAATAGTTACATCAATAAACTGTATGTACTATAATAAACTGATAACTCTTGCCAATTCTGTTTTTTGTGTTTTCTCTTATTATTTTAAACAGGTCTTCCTGGAGCTGATGGAGAAAAGGGCCCCAGAGGTATGTAAACTGGCTCTAATGGGCAGCCGGCCAGTTCCACATGTCATATGTCACCAGGCTCACTATAAGTGACACACAATAAACCCATACATATGTTTGATTTTATGCTATTTCCAGGTGACCAGGGTCCGATCGGACTGCCAGGAATCAGAGGCCCACCAGGATCTCAAGGCGACGCTGGTAGTTCAGGTACGCAGATTTTAAAGGACGTAGATGCACCAGTGCATTTGCTTACAGTTTTCCAGATTGATCTGCAGTGTTAATTTACCATTAGGGGTATCCAGTCAGTCTATAAATAGAGTGAGCTCTCTGTGCCATTAAGTCGCTGTGAAGTGAGTCACTTTGCTTGTTTCTGTTGGGTCAAATGACAATCCTTTTTACTCTAGGATCTCCTGGACTACAAGGACCACCAGGTAATGCTGTTTAACTGGGGCTTTGGGGAAGTGCTGTGGCAGTGGTGATCTAATGGCTAGTGAAGCATGCTTGTGATCAGAAGGTTGTGGGTTTGAATCCTTGAACAGCAAAGTACTGCTGCCCACTATTATATCCAATATGGGTTACTTACAGTGCATTTCAGTGCTGGGGTGTGTGAACAATCAATCGCTTTTTAAAGAAATACTGTAGGCAACAGGTCAGTCCTGGCATTCATATAGAAAGACATAAACTTCTTTTGCAATTAAACTTGGTTGATAAGGTTACTGCTCATAAACTTCAACTGATAGCAGGATGCTGCGGCAGCAGAGCAGTTTTTGTATAGTACAGTATGTTAGCGTTAGCACTGTAGCCCTGCTATATGTTTGCTGTGTGGCATCTGCATCTTCTCCCCATATTATATGGGCTTCCTCTAGATAGTCTGGTTTCCTTTCACAGTCCAAAAACATGCGGTTTGGCAAATCGCTATCTTTTATTTGCCCATTTGTCTGTGATCTATGATCTGTCCGGGGTGCTTTATGATTTATGCCTCCTGGGACAGATGCCATGGTAGTGAAATGCGTGGTGGAATATTAATAAGAATTTCTCTTTAAAACTGATTGGGCGTGACGTTAACTTGCATTAGTACTAATTCATATATGTGATTTGTAAGAGGAATGCCTGACTCATTAAGGAGAGCAACTGAATGATGCCTGTAGATACAGTATAAAAATCATAAATGAGCTTCTTGCTGTGATTATAAACTGCTTGCCTAATACTGTGGCAGATGGAGAGGTTTCACACACAACGATTCCAGCTAGTAACACGTTACATTGCATGAAACAATATAACAGCAGTATGTTGTTAATGTAACAATTATTCAGCTTGACATGATCTTACGTGTGAGAAAATTCACTCGGCCTGTTCCTAGCTTGGCTTGTGTCGTATGCATGGCAGGCCTAGGGTCAAACCAAGCGCTATAAAAATAATGCCAGTCTCCTGGTTATAACACTAGCATTACATTTATTAGAATAGCTGGTTTTGTTGCAAGGTTCATTTATTTAGCTGTTGTAATTTGAAGGAGGTTAATTTTGAAGTGATATGGTATGAATGGGGTAGGACCAAATAAGTTTACACTTCTGCCTGCTCCTTTTCAGGCAAGGAAATCGAAAGGTGTAATATTATGATGGAGAATGTGGAAATGTTTTTTTTATTTGTTGTTTGTTTGAAATAAATAAAATGAATGAATGAATGAATGAATGAACATTTCTTTAAAGATAATGAATGAAAGATATTTCACATTTTACAGGAATTCCAGGAAATCCAGGTGCGCCTGGGACCAAAGGTAACACAAAATTGGAATTAAAATAATTGGAATTAAGGTTCTTTCATAAGCATACAGACTGATGTTGTAAAGACAAATGCTGGTAAGAACGACATAAACTTGCCAGTTCTTTCGCAATTAAAATTGGTTAATAGGTTACTTCTAGAAAAACCCCTAAGCTATGGTCTCAATAGTCTCAATGGTCCTTTCCTGATTTTCGTTATAAGGTTGCATCATTCAAACTTCTATTTCAGGTGATCCAGGTGAACCTGGAAGAATCATCAATGCAGGTCAGTGACTGGAGATGATGTTTTGTATTTTAGGTGCACTGTAGTATATTGAAATAAAATGTATGGCTAATTCATTGTTTTTACTAAATGCAGTGTGATGCATGCAGTCATTACGTTTCCATACCTCAGACTGTCATCTGTGAAAATAACTAATCTGTCACAATCTTTGATATACGTCTTTGCCGTGTTTCTCAGCGGGTTCGAATTCTGTGGGCATACCTGGTCCCCCAGGCAACCCTGGGCCGCCTGGACCTCCAGGACCATCAGGACTGTCAGGTTGGACAGAGAAAAATATTTCACATGGTTTATTGCTGGGAGTGAGGGGCTCTGTAGGGGCTCTGTAGGGGCTCTATCCATCCCTTAATCCAGATTAAGAGTCATTAGTGATGCTTTTTTTTTTAAGGTCCAATTGGTCCAGCTGGGCTGCCTGGTTCACCTGGTAAGTCACTTCTTTCTCGTAAAATAAGAAACAGAGCATCTTTGGTCATGCAGAGTGTAGATGGCAGAGTGTAGATGGCAGAGTGTAGATGGAGAGTGTAGATGCAGAGTGTAGATATGCATAGTACAAACAATACTGTAACCTAAATATGTTTGTGTGCGGCTGACCATCTTCATATGTATGTGTCTCACATTGAGCATATTTCTGTACATTGGCAGGTCCTAAGGGTGCCAAAGGAGATCAAGGTAAATAGGAGAGGCCCACTCCTGGTCCTACCATGCATCATTCAAAGTATTTGCAAGCTCTCCATGGCACAATTCCTCTGCCACATGTATGATCCAAGTAGGAAGTGCTGAGAAGAAAAACTGCTGACCGTCTGGCTGCTTTCAGCTGATCATGCTTTGTTCTCCTTCCTGTGACCCTGACCCCCTTCTGCCGTGTCCCTTTCAGGACAATATGCTGAAAGCAATGCAGTTCTGTCAAGCCTCCCAGGCCCTCCTGGACCACCAGGGCCGCCGGGGATGCCAGGGCCGGCTGGCCGTGCAGGTCAGCACCGCTACGCTTTTGTCCCAGTCCACACTTCAGTGACAGGGTCAGAGTGTGTTTCAGCTGGGGATCGTCACACTCCAGACCCGCCCTGATAATGAAAAAATTCAATTTTATGTCGATTAATAACATGATCTCCCGGCCACTGTCACCAACCTACCACCAGGGCGGCGCACTGGAAATTCTCTCAGTTCTCACAATTAGACATTAGAGCTAGTTGTTAGTAACAACTGCTCATGTTCTCTTAACGTCCTTCTGTTCAAAGTAAAAACTGATTTTCTTCTTTAGGAGACTCCAGACAAGGTCCACCAGGGCCCCCTGGTCCACCTGGAAGTCCAGGTCAGTCTGTGCCTTTCCAGTGCATCCACAGTCATGCTACCCTGCAAAGGGCTTTGTGAGATCTGCTGAAAGCACATGTTCTTGGTGTTTCCAGGATACGGCCAGCCAGGCCCCCCAGGACAGAAAGGAGAACCTGGAAGCCTCTTGCCAAGCTCAGGTACTGACTCATACAAACCTCATTATTATTTTTTCATATGTTTTTGAGATTAATTGATCTGGACTCATGTGCAAGGATGCAGTGTAGTGCTTCAATCCATTAACTAATTTAGTCTCACTTTTCACATAATCTGTTTTTATTGTTCATTTTCTACTTATCAGTTTAGTGTTTGTCAGTTTTTCTAATGTAGTGAATTACAGCCACTTTCACTACCAAGCATTAAAATTGGCGTCATTTAGCTATGGAGTGTCCAGATCTTTCCTAAATCAAAATCCTTTTAGATACCAGGATGACTGATTTTTGAAAACTAGCATGATAATAATTGCCATTGCAATGACATTGCATAAGAAGCCAAATAAAGATGTATCATTTTATAGTAATTACACCTAAAATGTCAATGCATTAAAAAACCTTTTTGATATATATCAGTTGAAGTACAGTAGTATGTAATCCACTTGTCATTAATATGTAAATGTGACAATGACTTTACTTGGATCGGTTTCCAGGAACATTCTATGCTGGACCTCCAGGACCCCCGGGACAACCTGGACAGAAAGGAGCGCAAGGTCAGCACACTCAGCAGTGCAAGTTCCCGCTAATGAAAGTTCCCGCTAATGAAAGTTCCCGCTAATGAAAGTTCCCGCTAATGAAAGTTCCCGCTAAAAGTTTCAGCTATTGGAAACACACAATCAGTGATCATTGTTCCATCTCTGGGTTCTCCAAAGAGTGTAACTGTACTGTATATTGACAATTACAGGTATTCAGGGTCCAAGAGGATATCAGGGTAAGGTGTTTTTTTCTTCACAAAATAGGATTATATATGCATTCATAGTTAACAATCAGATATAAATTAGATTAAAGCATCTAGGGCAGCCAGATTAGAGAGTCTGTTTGCTAGACAGGTGCCTTTGAATCATACTTGTGAATCTATATATGTGGTCAGCACTGGTGTGTAGGTTGTGTGTGGACTATGCTGGTGTGTTAAACTACTAAACTACGAGCTGAGTGGTGGAAATAGTGTAATGCATCATTTTCTGCATGTTCTTGTCATTTCACAGGTGAACCAGGCCAACCAGGCCTGCCTGGATCATCAGGAAGCCTTGGAGATCATGGGAGAGGTGAGTAGGCGATAGCATTCATTTTCAATACTCCCAGAGTAATATTCAAAACCATTTGATGCCGTATAATAACATTTAGTCTCAATCCACAATGCTGGACATTAGTATTAATTTTGTAGTATATAAATAACAAACGCAAGTGGTCAGTAATGATGCTAATGACTACATGAAGTAACTATGTAATGGTAAGCAACACTTACTACTGTTAATTATGTTCTTGGGTTTAGGTCTTGCTGGCCCCTCAGGACCTATGGGCCCCCCTGGTGCCTCAGGGCCACCTGGACCCCCAGGGAGAGAGGGACCAAAAGGTGGGTATTTGATTGATGTACTTGTAATTAAATCGCAATTGTGTAATTCTGTTGTAATTGCGTACCTGTGTAATTACGTTGTAATGCCTATTTCGTTGTGTTGTGTTCCTCTGATTCCCAGGTGAAGCTGGAGTACCAGGCGCCCCGGGTATACCTGGTGCTTCCAGAGGTAGGAGCTCCAGTCATGCATATATCAGAATACATTATAATTAGTGTCATATTCATTCTTGAGAAACAATAAGTGTGGTAACTTGCCAAATTATTACTTCAATAAAACAATAACTAAAACTCTGTGGTATAGAAAAAACTTTCATAGCTGCCAGACCTTTGATTTACTATTGATCAGGAGTTTACTCACCAGGTCAGTAATAAGCATGGTTGGACCATGTTGACAACAGACACTGAACTGCCTGTATATCATCTGAACTGCCTGTATATCTCCCCCGGATCCTAGTAGTTGCCCTGCATTTTGCTTGTTTGGTCCTCATGCCTTCCATCTGTTTGCAGTAAGCATTCTGTGTAACCCTTCCAGGTGGTAACTCAAGAATCAGCCAAGGGCTACCTGGCCCCCCCGGCCCTCCTGGGACCCCAGGTCGGCCAAGTGATGGGTCATCGAAGGAAGAACTTCGCCAGTACATTTTGGAGTACATGCAGAGTAGGTAGCACTCTTCTGGGGTCTAGCAGGACATTCCTTTGGGTGGTCTCACTACTGTCTGCAATTTATGAAAGCAGATGCAAATGTGTTTGTGAAATGCAATTTTTAAATCACATTCGTGGTGTAAGTGCACTTAAAAAGTCAGAGAGAAGCTCCAAAGTGGTTCCATTACTGTGTCTGTTTGTAGGTGATGCCCTCAGGAAGTACCTTATTGGGCCCCAGGGTCTCCCCGGACCTCCTGGTGCCAGTGCTTTGGGAGCTTATTCTGTGGAGGACTTGGCCTCCCGAGTGGTTGCCTACATCCAGCGTGAGTACTTGTCAACGACATCATACTTATTCCCAAGAAAAGAGCAAAACACAGGATACCTAAAGAGACTTTCTTGGTAGTTGACTGGTTAAAATGATTAACTGCTAACTGTGGCTATGAGAAGTTCACACTCTTTATAAACGTGGGTGGGGCTGATAGGTACGGGAGCTGTGATTGGAGCTCCAGGTCCAGCTGGTCCCCCTGGGTCTGTGTCTGTCAGTGACATCATCGCACTGATGCAGCGTGAGTACTGGGTTTCACTGCATTTTACTATCCCTGTCTCTCAGTGAGAAAGCACTGAGCTTCATAATGTGTCTGAAACAAGACAGTTAAAGTGTTGTAATGAAAAGCACTCCATCCATTTGAGAAAATGGTAGCATGTTCTTCCTTCTAGCAGTGGCAAGATGAAGACAAAGGATTTAAATGATATGGCACCAAGTATCAGCATAGTAACAAATGATGACCGTAGTTCAAAAGCGATATTATGTTTATTGATTGTGAAAAACAGTGTAGAATTACTGTGTGTATGATATTTTATGGTCTTATGCAGGGGATGAAGTGCGACAGTATCTGATTGGTCCAGCTGGTCCTCCTGGACCACCAGGAGTTCTTCAGACCTCACTAAATATGCAGGAGGTGGCTACTCGAATCCTTGGAACCATGAATGGTAAATTTGTGCTCAGTAGATGCAAGAGGAATTCACTGATTTATACCTGAAGAAGTCACAGAAATGCTAGGCTCATGCAGGCTGAATCCAAGCATGTCACTGAAAATATGATGCTTTACGTTTTGTGGTTGAAGCTTGATATGCTATATAGCATGCTATTGCTAACATGCGGCTGCTATGTAAATGTTTCTGTATGGTCAGAACGTGGGATGGTTGGAGTTCCTGGACCCCCTGGCCCTCCTGGACCTCCTGGGCCGGTATCTTCTCACCTGCCCTGTAAGAGCTCGTTCCGCTGGACTGCTCTTTACTCCCATGTCTGTCCTGTGCTACTTTCATTATCTGAAATATTTTTGTCCACTTCTATTCGTCACATTCCTCTTGTCCTTGTTGTTAGTTTTTTAATAGCTTCCCTTCTAATGTGCTATGACTGACCTGTTTTTTGTGTCATACTTCTGAATAATTCAAATTTGTTTCCATTTACAGCATTAGAAAGAGTGGAGTACGTGTCACAGCCAGGGCCTCCAGGTCGACCTGGACTTCCAGGGCCTCCTGGACCTCCAGGCCTGGCCAGTGGTGGATCCCATAGCTCTGGCTATAGACTCGAGGATATCAAACAGTACTTGCAGGGTAGGTAGACAGTAGGCATGTAAAGATGCATTGATGTATCATGAATCGAATCATTTCAATGCATTGATCTGTAAAGACAGAATCGATTTTCATAGGTACTCCTACTTCGGGGTTGTGCATTGTCCCGTTCACGTAGTGCAAGTAGATGCACAAAGCAGCAGTGCCGTTATGCAAAATTACGCATTAATATTCATAAAGGAAACATTACTTGATCCTTGTGCTACAGCATTTTTGGGAAGCTCACCTGTTTATTAGTGTAGAACACTCTCTCTAACGGTTAAAATATTCTTTGAACGCCATGCTTTTGGAAAATACCTCGTTTGTATATTTTCAATATTTTCGCATTATGATAGGCTTTTTGGAACGTAACCCCATCATAACCTGGGGAGAGGCTGTGACACATTTTATCAGTTACTGTTAAAGATGGCATGGTGGCACACTGGGTTAGGAGATGCCAGTACACACAGATGGAATGCCTGAATTAACGGTGGCTGACGAGAAGCCATTTGTTTGAGATCCCGTGTTGGGTGTCCGCTACTCTGTGCTTCCTGGGAAGTACTCTAGGCTTACAATGGCCCTTTATTATAGAGCAGCGTTTCTCAATCCAGTCCACATTTTTGCTCCCTCTCAGCTTTCGGTAAGGAGCTGGCAGGGACCTTAGAGAGAGCAAAAACATGGACCGACTGTGGATCTCCGAGGACCGGATTGGGAAACACTGTTATAGAGGATGGATACAAGTTGATAAGAAGACTAAGAGAGTATTATAATGTTGGAGTAGTCATGTTATGTATTCAAACAACGCTAGTTCTTAATACATTTAATCAAAGGAAACGATCATACCAATAAAACCTTTTTTTTGCTGTATCACAGATTCTGGATTTAATGGACCACCAGGAGCCCCTGGCCCCCCAGGGCCAATGGGCCCTCAGGGGCCTCCTGGGGACTCCAGAGGACTGGTGTCATACACTGGAAACTCTCAGCAGGAATGGGTGCATGCCTATTTACAGCAGTATTTCAGCAGTGAGTCCCCCGCCCCCCTATTGATATATAATGCCATGGTATGGTCTGCTTTGACGTAGCTAATTCATCTTCTGATGCGTTTTGTTTCAGATGAGAGTGTCCGTCGCTCCATCACAGGCCCACCTGGCCCTCCTGGTCCTCGGGGAGAGAAGGGGGAACGCGGGGATAGCAGCTACATCCTGGGGACTACCCACGAGCGCAGCCACGGTCAGAGTAGCGACCACGCATACGGTCAAAATGGTGAGCGCGGGTACCATCTAGATGAACGAAGACAGGGCCAGAATGGCAACACAGGATACGGCTACAATGAAAGGCGGCTGGAAACAGCGGACTACTCAAATATGGCTTTGAAAGTGGCCGAGTATATCAAGAGTAAGTATCTGCTAGTAAGTGCAGATGCATTTCCAGGGCTGTTGAGTAGAGGGCTGAAAATGATCTCCACCTCCAGGCCAGGGTCTACTGCGGGGCCTGATTCCAGACGGTCATGGGCTGGAGCGATGGGATGTCCAGGGTCCCCCCGGCCCCCCCGGCCCACGTGGCGCTCCAGGATATAGCCGCATCATTGGGTACCATGGCAACGTGACGGCTGATCTCATGGACTTCTTCAGAAGTGAGAAAAAAAATGCCCAACTGAAATTCGTACATTTCTATAAGCATATGTGACACCTAAAGGCATGACTGTGAGGGTGTTTGAGGGGGTTTCGTGTAGAATATTCTGAAATAATGCTGTGCAATTTGTGTGAATTTACTAACAGCACATGGAGCCATTGTTGGCCCAGCCGGCATACCTGGACCACAGGGGGAGAGAGGGTATCCTGGACTGAAAGGTGACAGAGGTACGGCATCAACATTTCAGTGTCTCAATAGCAAATAGAGCGAATGATGGTATTTTTCGAGTAGATTATGCTACAGCTGGCACTACTTTACATTTTTTTGTTTTGTTTTTGATTGTAGGTGAAGTGGGATCTCCGGGGCAACCAGGCCGTGATGGCCCCAGGGGAGAGAAGGGCGAAAAGGGTAAGCCATCGGAAAGTGGATATTGAGGCAAAATCTAGTTATCCTGCATTATCAGCTTCCTCCATTACCAATGAAGTCAATGAGTCATCCTATCACAAAGGCCGGTTCATCACATCCTCAAGCCTTTTTGGGTTCTCACCAAATTACAGCTTTCCCTTAGAATTTATATTTGGGTGGAAAAAAAGCACAATACTTCACTAGAAATATTACCTTCATACCCTCCCCCTTTCCTCAGGATAGTTTCTCTACTGCTGTTTTTTTAATCACATCTGTGACTCCCACACTCTTCCCGAATCCTAAGTGTAACCGAGCTGGACTGCAAGGGGTGGATGTTTTGAGATTTTTCTGCTCGCAGGAGAGCCAATGGTGGTTGGGCGTCGGAAGAGGAGGAGCTTGGGGGTGTGACGGCACAAGAGAAGACGAGGAGCCACTCATTACACTTTCTGCACAATAGCATTTAACATAGAATTATAGTGCCTGGGTAGAGCTAGAAAAAGTAACAAATTAGCGGTGTGCTTCTTACCTACACAGCCATATATATTTCCTTGTACAATTCACTTTGACAAATAGAGGGAAAATTCAAACCAGTTTAAGTTTTAAACCCCAAATGGAGAGTTAAAACCTAAATTTTTACAATTCCTTCTCTATACCGCATGCCCATTTCTGGGCCGCGGAGGTCCAGATCCTATCCTGGAAACACAATACAAATTAATACTGGGGAGTCCAATGCCAGCTCCCCCCATAGGACCCAACTGATGTGTAGTGCCACAGGTTAGGCTTTGTGTCTGTCATCAGAAGAGCATAGGTTCAAATCCTTTATTTGGGAAAGTAGTTGCATGACTGCTAGGCCCTTGTGCAAAGTCTAAACCACCCCCCCCCCCAAAAAAAAACAGCCCTAAGGTGCTAAATAAAGGTCTGATACCAGGCTCCATTCGCACTAATATATGTGCACCTCTACTGGGAGAGAAAGGTGGGATGTGTGAAAACTAAAGAATTCCTACGTAACTGGTGAATAAAGCATCTTTTTTCACGTGTGGATAAGTCAAGCTTAAACCATACAAATGAGTAAAATACAACATTTTTTTTTCCTGAAATGATCATTTTGCACAGTTACTGAATTTGCCAACCCATGTGATCCGTACATGGTAGGTCAGATATTGCTTTTGTTTTTGCAAGTTACAGTAGATGAGTACATTTAAAACTTCAGTAGTGGCAGATTTTTATTTTTGTTGGGAGTGCTTTTGTATTTTTGTACCTTTTTTAAAACACGACTTGCAAGCTTTTTTTGTACACTGAAAACCTCTGAACTAAAATGTGGTCTAATTCAAAATTAGGGGGTTGTTTTACTCTCACTAGCACTTAAATTTTATACTACCCCAGAAATGTATTTAATAATTAACATTGTCTTTTATTTAAAAAAAATATTCCAGCAAACATTTTAAGTTGGTTTATTTTGATACGCATTGTCTGATTTAAAATAGCTTCCACTGACATCAAAAAAGATTTATAACATGGAAGCAGCATCCCTCACAATATTTTGTGGTTTGCAGTTGAGAAACCTTTCCAGCGAGTTTTTTCCACAGTAAAGTGTTCAGCTTCTTATGTCCCTAAAAGCCAGCCCTTACGGAAGTGATGCACCAGGAAAGAATATCAATGCAGTGCTACAATGTAATGCAACAACCAATTTTGGCAATATATTACAAAATTGCAGACTACATTGTGTCAAAAACAACAGGTGTAAGCTCATTCATCACTGTCTCTGTGACCCATTGAAAGATAAAACCTTTGACAAGGCTGGACACAGTCATGGACTTGAATCATGATGAACAGTAACATGGTTTATTTACAATGATGTTGACCTACAGAGGTGTTTAAAAAATAAATCCATCAAATAAATCCACTTTTAAAAATCAATATGTTCTAAAGGGTCATTCTTTTGAAAATGTTCAAATGTATTATCTGAAAGTGAACAAGGGTTTTATGGTTCTGTAAATGGACACAACACCCCCCCCCCCCCAGCAGCTCTTTTGCAGTGTCGTTCCCTCTGCTACTCCAGTTACAGTTTTTCATGCCTCTTGTGTTGTTATGCTGAGAACTACATGGGATTTTTTCTTTAAACATCCATCAAAATACCCTTCCAATTGAGTATCCCTCTGTCTAACAGCCATGATGTGTGAATTAAAATAATCTTCCATACAATTTCATAAGCATTACAGTATTACCCAGTCATAACTAAGAAATATTAAATTGCATGTATACATAGTTACAGTAATATAAAAATTTTGAAACATGCAGTGCCCCTCAAAACAATCAATGAATTTGTCGCTGGAACATCTAAAACAGACACCAAATGTAGTGGCTTACAGACACAATTGCTAGAAGCTAAAATCTGACCAAGGCCAGAATTCTGCCCTCTTTTAGAGTAAACATCAGTTCATTACTGCATATTCTCTGGTATCAATGAAACAGTGCAATGGCATGAATAAAGGTTTATGGACCTGAGGGTTTGTTTGTATGCTTACATCACTAACCACTGCAACGAAGACTTTACTGCATAAGAACCAGATAAATAATAACAGACAATTCAAAAAAAAAAAAAAAAAGAAAAACCAAAAAAGGCATTTGAAACCAAAAAAGGCATTTCACTTGAAACTGTAACCCACAGAAACCTTAGGTGATATGTACACACACACACACACACACAATAGTTGCACATCAAGTAAAAATTGTACTGAGGAAGCAGTCACTGTGGATGAGATCTCCTCAGGCTACCAGCAGGGTAGCACCATCAATCCAGCATCTCCAAGCAATATATTGATCCTCATCCCATTCATTCCATCTGGAATGCCTACTCAACCATTTACCAACATTCCACTGCATTACTATAGAAATGCAGCCTTCTGAAGCCTTGCCTTTAAAATTCAATCATCAGCTTCGGTGCTAAAATATACATTATTATTATTTTCTTTTGTGGCGTCGATGCGAAATATCCAGCAGATTTTAGTGCAAATGAACCGAATGTGAAAATGGAGCAGCAAAGCAAGAGAGAAAAAAAAAGACTGACTGAAACAGACCGCTGCAGGCACTGGGTTATCTTCTGGAGAAAAAAAAAATATTTAAAATGGCAGTCACTGAATTTCTCAATAATCATAAATATTGATATGCCTCAGCTGCCCGAAACCTTTAAAGCATTAAAAAAAGAGGAAAAAACGGCCAAAAATATAGACCCTCCTTAAGCAATTCCAATTCATTTTTTTAAATATTACAGAGGATAAGCTATGCAGGAGTCAATCCACATTCTAATCTAAATTCTAATAAAGCCATGGTTTAAAAAAAATTGTGAGGCTTCGGGTGGCTGCATTCGAGTCATACAGCACTGAAGAGCAAAGTGGAAAAAAGACATTGTAGAGGTAATAGAGATTGTCGTCGGTGGGGGGGGACGGGGACGGGGACGGGACGGAGGCAGAGATGACGGTACGTCCAGCTCTGTGAGGGTGGCACAGGGTTACAGACCAGAGGAGGGGACATTAGGGATCTGGTAGAACTTGGAGATCCGGCTTTGGGCTGAGGGATTAAGGCATTCAGAATCTCCGCCCATCTTGAAGAACACCTCCTGCTCTTGCATCTTGCGGGCAAACTCCTCCTCCAGGGCCTGCAGACCCAGAAAGGTGAGACGCAAAAACCGAATGACTTAGTTACAGCATCATTACAGTGCAATGTGTGGCTTCCTTTAACTTTATAGCTTATTTTTCCTTAGAAGGCGTCATGGAAAGATCTTAAGGCCCGCAGGAGGGAGTCGTACCAAACACCCTGTCATAAACATCAACGCAAACTGTTTCAGTGTTAAGTAGGATCATCAATGAGCTCAGGATAAACCAAATAATGTCACCGACGAGTCGCACATTTTCTTTTTATTCAGAGAAACTGGTGAAACTTGCTGGTGCAGATTAATGGAATGGCACTTTTATTGGGTGGAAAATAAAATATTTATCTAGGGGCCAGATTTAGTAATGAATTACAAATGTTTCACGGGCTGGTACTTTAGACCTCTTATAAGTGGTGAATGAGCCATGAAATTCCTCGTCCAATGCAATCATCGTTATTTCAGTGGTACAGTAGCTCTATTGCAGTTACCCTTGATCATTAATAAAGTTTAAATATTGAATGGCAATTTTGGTATGTTAACCGATATTTTGTTCATATCAATATAGTTTGTTCTTTGTAAAGACAATATGTAATGCAAAATAATAATAATAATAATAATAATAATAATAATAATAAAGGAAAAATATATTGCACAGGAATCATGTGAGATCGGCATCTTGTAGAAAATCGTAATTCAGATTTTACCGAGAATCTTCAAGCCCTATATCAGGTCTGCTTTTCGTTTTTTATTTGGGTGAATAATGATGGTTGTGCAGAATGTATCGCAGTAAAAAGTCTTTATTTAGCTCTGAAATGTAGCGAAGCGAAAATATTTGTGCTTCGTTATTTGACACCTGTGTCAGAAGATGGATTAACCCTCTGGGGTCTAGGGGTAGGGAACACACCTTCACTGACTGGGGCATGGTCACACATTTCATTCAATATCAAACGATGCCGTCGACCCCAGAAGGTTAAAACAAGATTTAAGGGAAGAGCAGTCCGTGTTTCAGTTCCGATTCCTCCCTTGGGACACGGAACAGAGTGCATTCTGGGCCGTCATACCTTCTTCCTCGGCCGTAGTTTCTCTCTCCATTCCTTTAGCTCCTGGCTGTGTTCCTCATCCAGCTCCTTCAGCTTCTGGGTCTCATGCTCGATCAGAATGTGGCACTTCTCATTCTGCAATGGGCCCAGGCAGCCAGTTAGCCCCCGTCTCGCACAGCCTGCCGGTGCGCTGTGCTGTTACACCGCTTTCTGCCGCGTCACACACCTGTAGCTGCTGCAGCTCCCGCACGTTGCTTTCGCACTGCATCTGCAGGTCCCTCATCTGGTTGTCGTGCTTCTGCATCTGCTGGAGCCGCTCGTTCTTTTGCCTCTTCTCCTCCTGGACGGAGAACTGTCCCAGACACAAATCCGTGACGTTAACGAGGAGCCTCGCAGAGGCCCGGAGCAACTTTATTCTCAGTCACATGACCCTAAGTACTTCTCAGGATCTCTGAATGGGTGCTTACAGTTGGTGTATGAATGAGCATCGTTTCAGAGTCCTTATAGTATGAGCTGAATGATGTCACTGGTGGGCCTTCCCCAATTGCTCCTGGGACTGGCTAACACTGCTTTCTCGCTTTTTGCATCACTCTGTTTGTTTTTTTTTTAAAAGAGGTTTTTGCATCCCCTAAAGCAGTGTTTCCTAATCCTGACACAGTACACAAGGGAGCAAAAATGAGGACTGTCTGACAGGGAGCTGAGAGGGAGCAAAAACACGGACCGACTGTGGGTCCCTGAGGACCGGGCTGGGAAACACTGCCCTGAAGTGACAGTAGAGAGAATGAGCAGTGGACCACAGAGCATCACCTGTTTGATCTTCTCCCTGTCCTGCTCCGGGGTCCCGCTGGAGGCGATGCGGAGGCTCTTCTTGAACATCGCCATGCGCGTCTTGGCATCGCTGCGTTGGATCTTGGGCAGCCGGGCCTTCTCCTGGGCTTGTCGGACCTTGATCTCCTCCAGCAGCCGTTGGTTATACCTCTGCATCTGTTCCATCTCCTGCGGGAACGCGCATACAGAGAGCACGGTGTTAGACGAAGACGCTGGAGCCGGGGGGCGAGGGGACTCCTGAGGGCTCAGCGGGACGCCTGGGCTGTCACCTCACCTTTTCATGTCTCTTCAGCAGCTGGTGTCTCTGCATGAAATACTGGTCTTTCAGCTGCTGCTTCAGCAGCTGGTGTTTCTCCTGCAGGTGGCGCTCTTCCAGTTCCCATATGGCAGCTTCGCGAGCTTAGGAGACAGGATGCACATTAACACCGGCGACTACCTTACCGCTGCACACCAAAACATCCTGTTGATAACAATGAGCATGCAATGAATTCTGGGACTGTGGAGGACACAGCCCCGAGCTCGGACCTCTCATGAGTTGCTGCTTGCTGTTGAGGCAGTCCCGTTCGATGGTGGCGATCTCGTGCTTGTGCTGCTGGATGATCTTCTTCAGAGAACCGTCCAGCTCCTGCTGCTGCTTCTGCAGGAACTCTTGTTCCTGGACGTGCACAAAGCAGCACAAGTCAGCGTATAGTGCATGGTGCACTTAACCAGACCAAGGCCGTAAACCACATGATGCACACGCACAGAGACACACGCACAATCCAACATGCTGCAGTCCAACAAGCCAGAATCTATGTACAAATGCACAGAAATCACAACAGTAAACTCCATAAATAAAACCTGAAATATAAGCACAATTTAGACCTTCACCAAGATGGAGAACAAACCTTAGCTATTTTAAACTATCAATGTGAGTCTGTTAAAAACAGAACTGCATGCAATTCAAATTTACACTAGTGATCATCTTGATATTTCAAGTAATTCAAGCTTCCCCCAATCATTTACTGGAAGGATCACTGCATGGTCTTAATTTAACAGGTATCACATGGGCGTATTTATATAAACACAGGTCCCAGTATGGTGTCCTGCTCCAGTGATAAGCTGCCTATTCTTCCCTTTTTAGGACGCAGGGAACGTTTGAGCAACAGCAGTCTGGTAAGCGAGAGCGACAGCACAGCAGCGGTGAGTCACTCTACAGACACTGTGTGCTGTTCTTTAATGTATGAGAGACAGCGGCACAGTACACCGAGCACGACCATATCGTATCAAAACCAAAGCCGGAAACAGAAGTGCTGCGTCAGGCTCGTGTCTAATCATTTCCTCAGCTTGGCGCGCAAAGTGAGCATGCTGGACACCGAACAGCGGGAAGCAGGTTACGCCATGCGGATGTAAAACCACACCACCCCCCTCCCCCCCCCTCCTTTGGAGAACACAACAGAAATAGCCAGAACACAAACTAAAGTCACGTCCTTGCTGGGCACAGAGAAGTCTAAGCAGAGGTTTTACAACATACACTTTTAAATTATTTTTAATTTATTTATAAGATGTCTTTATCTAAAGCGACGCACATTTTTCAGAAAGCGGGGTCAGGCGATACTAGGAACAACTGCGAGTTAAGGTCCACTGCTCACCAACAGTGAAATCACTCTTCCGGTGCTGCGATCTGGACTGGTGACCTTGCGATCGCAGCCACAGTGTTCTAACCCGTCGAGCCAGACGCCCAAAAGAAAAATTCCCTTATTCGAGAGTCAAGCAGTAACAACGCCTCTGCAGTAACAATTGTGTGAAGACCGTATGCCTTTTACAGGCTGAATATTTCAAATGTGAAAAACTCTGACAAGCCAGAAGTACTCCACACTGCCAGAAGTACTCCACACTGCCAGAAGTACTCCACACTGCCAGAAGTACTCCACACTGCACTGCCAGGGAATGTGTCAACTGTCATCTTGAGCTTCCAGCTAATTACACTCCCAGATGGGTTGTTGATCTTTTTTTAGCTATTATTTATGTAGTGTTCCTTAAAAAAAAAAAAAAATACACTTCAATAGTTATATTTTAAAATGAAAACTGGTAGAGAAGTGTTTAAAGAAAATATATTTTTATCCCTTTTGCGGACACTGGATCTCATACAAAAATACACACGTAACGTCAGCCACTACTTCCGTTTTGAATCTACCTCGAAACTTTGGTTAATATAAAGAAGTCCCATTTCCTGAAATGATTGTTAGCTACTTCTACAATATTTGAAAGCTTACATGATAAATGCTACAGTGGTATGTTCATTTGAATCAGCTGAAAATGTTTCAAGTACGGCGGAATCATTTATAGGAACATAAAGCATTTATAGAAACATAAAACAAATCAGGTAGGAAACGATAAGCCTTTTCATTTTTCTTGATGGTCTTCTTGAAGTCCTCACTGCATCGGACATTTCATTCTACCCAGTCCTCACTGCATCGGACATTTCATTCTACCCAGTCCTCACTGCATCTACCCATCTTAAAGTACTACAAGGGGACTGTGGAAGGAAACCAAAGCTGCTCCAGGAAAACAAACCTATAAAACTACGACTGAAAATGCTCAGGGATGTGGACCTTTGGTTAATGCTGAAATGGTCTGGGCCCAGGGCAAACTTTACTGCTTGGTGGAAATTTCTGTGACGTCAGGTGAACGTTAATATGCCGAGGAATCACTACACATCCTCTCATACCAAGGAATGAAACGAGATAAAAAAAATAAAAAAAAATGATTCATTCAGGCAAAATAAATAATAAATACAGCAATGGCAATAAGTAAAAAAAATAATTGACAGCACTGCATGAAGAGGAGAATTTTTAAAGGTCTGAAGCCCTGCACTGAATTTGTCAATTAGAAACAGGGTTGAGCAGGTAAATCATAGGTGACATGGTTAACTATGCCTAAGGATTGATAAGGCTGCACTGTACAGATGGCTGAGACTCAGGTTAACTAATTATGATACAAGTCAAGAACAGAACTGGAGGAAGGGGAAAGAAACTGAAGTACTGGCTTAAAGTGTGCAAGAATGACTGAGAAGGTTTCAAGTCAAGAAAGACGTGCGTGTGGACAGCGGCCACCGAGTTACCTGTTGATGCTGTGTGACCAATAGGTCCTCTTTTAAGCGTTTCATGAGCCCTTTTCTCAAATGTTTGGGAGAAACGTTCACTTCTTCTTTCACCTACAGTGTTGGCAGGTACATGAATTGGGATGAACACAAAGCCTATCTTTGCCGGAGGGAACAAATTGGCGAGCCTGCAGTACGGAGTTAGCTTCCAAAAGAAGCGGCACCCATTAGTGCTGGAACACCCATGCTTGATTTCATGGTTCTGATGTTTTAAAGGTCCACCTCCTTCCATTTGGCACCTATGGACCAAGGGGCCAGTGGACCTTTAAATGCCTTTGAGGAAATGAAGGCCCCAAAGGAAGAAGACGATTTGCTCACGGGGCTGCAAGTACCCGCCCCCAAAGTCGAAGTGCTGAAGAACTTTCAGTGACAACGTCCACGCCTACCCCACGCTCATGCCGACGAAAGAGCCAATAGCGTTCGGGAGAGCACTCCAGGTAGAGAGCACAAGGTATGGGACAGGTTATTCTGCATGAGTGATGGGTAGACGTTGTTGCAAGTCATACACGCCAGACTTGCAGTTCCAAAGCCACACTCAGGAGGAGTAAAGCCCAGCCAGGTGTGGGGAGGGGGGGGGCTTTAATGCGACTCAGCCTGCACCCTTCCCACAGGAGCTCGAAATCACCGCAAAGCCGGCCCCGATCTCAGCACCACAAGCTCCCCTCCGGTTACGCACATCATTGACACACAAGCCCCTCCACCAAGCCAATGGCCATTACTGACAGAAGTGCGCAGACCAACAGCAAACTGTTCACCATGAAGGCCGCCGGCACCCGAATCAAACCCCCCTTCCAACCTCTTTCCTGCGGTTCTTCATGGTGCTCTGGAACTTGGCCAGCTCCTTGTCCTGCTCGCCCTTGATGCGCTTGGCCTCATCACGCAGACGCGTGGTGTGATCCTGCTCCAGACGCTCCACCGTCTGCTTCTGCTGCTTCTCCAGGCTCTCGATCTCCTGGTCGTACTGCCGCTTCTTAGCCTGGTGCGAAGGCATCGCCGGACCCATTAATAATGTATTACACATGGGATAAGCATGAATTATTAAGCCGATCAATATACTTAGAGAGAATTACATTGCAGAAATGGGAATTCAGCCATGGTATTGTAACAGTTGGGTATTTTTTTTAATCCTGACAGTCAGGACCTTCCTTCAAAAGGAGGAGAACACACTACAGCAGAGGTTCCCAAACTATGGCTTGTGACCCAAAATGGGTTGCAGTTGTGGTGCGTCACCGACTGACCACGAAAAGCCTAATTTATAATACGGCATTTGTGGCGCCGTGCGTCTTTCCGTGCACCTGTGTGACAAGCCTCTGCAGTGATCGCCACATTGCAGTGATCGCCACATTGCAGCGATCGGTCACCGCGTTGCAGCGATCGGTCACCGCGTTGCAGCGATCGGTCACCGCGTTGCAGCGATCGGTCACCGCGTTGCTGCCACGATGAAACATCATCGTATTGGATACTTTCTAATCAGAGTGGTCTGTTTCTGTAAAAACTGAAATCCTATTAGTAATTGTTTTGTAGAACTTGAACTCTCTCCAAATAATAATAAAAAAAGACGGGTCATGACAATCAGAATTCTGTCGGACTTGGTGTGAAAGCCTTCATAAAAATTAATTTGTTAGTTTCTAAATAATGTCATTAGGTTTCTTTTTTGTCTGAAAAGGCCTTTAGTATGGATGCGGTGGAAGGCGAGGAAACATGCAGGATAATTGTTCAATGCCCTGTGATAGGTTAGCGCCCCATCCTGGGTTATTCCCTGCCTTGTGCCTACAGCTTCCAGGATGGGATATGCTCCAGACCCCCTGCGACCCTGAACAGCGGTTTCAGAAAATGGATGGATGGATGGATGGATGGATGGTTTTTCATCATTATGTCAGATGTTCCATTGTGTTTGTTTTGTCTCTTGAAGGATGGAGGAGGGGTTTGCAGAGAGGTGCATTAATTGTCATGAACAGCAATACGAATAATTTTTTTTTAAACAATTAAAAAAATAATAATAATAATAATTAAATGAAGAATATTGCTTGTATACTTTAACTTCTGGTTTTTTGTTTATCTTTATTATATTGTTATAATGGTATTTCATTATATATTTTGGGTTTCAGTCCCAGGCAGACAACAAATCTGCCTTTTGGGACCCCCTACACCACAGTACTGTCAGCTGCAGTGGAACATTCCGGTGTGTTAGCAGTGCCGTCTTTCAGCTTTATGGGCTTCCCCCGCTGGCCAGCCGGCCCCCTTCTACGGACTGGCTACTCACTGCCATCTCCTGCTCGAACCGGCGGTAAATGACATCCCTCTGCTGCAGCAGCTTGTCGCTCAGCTGCTGCTGGGCCCTCTGCTCCTCCTTCTGCAGCAGACGCAGCTCACGCAGCTCCTGCCGCCTGTGGGGGGGGGGAACCAATGCAGGTGTGTGGTTTGGCTGCGTCTCACGTTCACATAGTACCAGTCAAAAGACTGGACACACATGCTGAAAATAATTTGTTTTCCAAGAAGGTAATGACTAGAGATGCACCGATACCGATATTCGGATCGGTATCGGCGCCGATCCAGACCTATCTGACGGATCGGTATCGGCCATGCGTGACCGATCCACGTCCTATACTTACTTATTTCGTTTTTGTACAATCAATCGCACGACAGCTCTTTCCCATTTCACGTTTTTTTGCGGCTTTCAAATCGAACGCTATCGCTGCCCCTCAGTCTTTTTAGCTACTCGGTGGGTGTGAGTACAGTGACGTCCGCCTGCTGTGACGTCATGCGCATACCCTTCGCAGTACGAGGAGCGTAAGATAAGCCGTGACGATCTGGGAGTATTTTACGCTTTTAACGGAAATCAGTAGCACAGCGATTTGCAATCTATGTTAAATAAAGTTTTGAGGTGGGAATAGCGTTTAATGGACAATCCCATTTAACAAAGTGCAATGGATGATTTGGGAGTCGCCAACTTCATTGGACTGTTTTGCGAACTCGCTGCAGCTTGTGATACAAGAGGGGCTGAAATCGCAACAAAGTGTAACTGCGTTGACGCCAATGGGAGAATAACTTAAAATTTTAAGCATTCGCCACTTGTGTATATTTGCTTTGAAGATATTCATATTGAACTGCAAATGCCTCAAAAACGCTTAAAACAAATGAGGTGGAACAGTACGTTACGTATGTTTGTAGTAGCCTAATTAAATATTTTTTGTCATAATTTTTTCCATCTGTATTTACTAGCTTAAAAAAAATAATATATAAAGTATAACAAAGTAAAAACAGCTCTTCTTATCGGAATCTGTATCGGTATCTGCAGTTGTGTATCGGAATCGGATCGGAACTGAAAAAATGTGGATCGCCCATCTCTAGTAATGACCCGAAGCGAACCTGGAGGTTATGCAAATACTGTATTATCTGGTAAACAAGGCAAGATATGGGGTGGGGCTTCGGGATGAGTCTGGTCAAACAGGAAGAGCAAAGCATCCAACTTGTGCCAAAAAACCTGTGGAAACTCCTTCAGGACTGTTCGAGAAGCATTCCAGGTGGCTACATCTGGAAGCTGCTTGAGAGAATGCCAAGAGTCTGCAACGCTGTCATTCAAGCAAAAGGGAGCTATTTTAGACAGTCTAAAGTTTGAGAAAATACTGAAATGCCGGACACGTCTCTTGATATTGCAATATTTGATACGACTTTACGGCCTCAGGGCCATTTACTCTAAGGTGAATGACATGAGAAAGAGAAAAATGCATTAAAACAGGTGGCTTAGACCCGTCAGCCTATATTTTATTGTCGAAAAACCAGTATAGCATCATAAAATGTAAGGAATGACACAGAAAAATATTGCTACATCCAAATATTGCCAATTTGAAAACATGGGTACCGTTTTGAAATATAACAGGAAGATACATCCATACCTTAAGAATCGCATTTCTTCATTTTTGGTGTCATTGTCTGTGACGATTTTCGACGTGGTGACGCTGACCTCCACGCCGTCCACCAGGAACTTACGGGTCTTCTTTAGAGTCTTCTTCTGCCGCTTGATGTCCTGGAGAGGTGGGCCATCATTTAGGGTTCCGGTAATCTATCCACAGTGTGCTCTATGGCACAGCCTGCTTACCTGGATGGAAACGGAGCCAGTTTCCTTGTTCTTAGTAAGGAAGCTGGAGATGGAGAGGTTCAGGTCGACGCTGCTGTTATCCGCTGCAGAGCTGCTCCCGGAATCGGAGTCCTTCTCCTTCTCGCCGTTGGTCTGTTTGGGCCCAGCCTTGTCTGCCGGGGCCTCCGTCTGAGGGGAGGAGCTCGGCGCCGTCTGTGGCTCTTGTTGCTCCATGGGCGAGGCTGTGCCATCTCCAGTGCCTTGGGCCTCTTTCTGAGCATCTGCCTCTTGATTTGGATCCTGAGCCTTTTTAGGTTCCTCTAAAGGTACTGGTGCTTCCTCCTGCCTGTTGTCCATTATTGAGGCTTGTTCTGGAGATCCAGGGGCTTTCTCTGTGCTCTCAGGTTCAGGCCTGAGCTCAGGCACAGGTTCTGGTCTTAGGTCAGGATCAGGTTTGGTTACAGGTTCAGGCCTGAGCTCAGGGTCAGGTTCTGGTTTGACTTCAGGAATGGGTTCTGGCTTAATCTCAGGCACGAGTTCAAGCCTGATCTCAGGAATGGGTTCAGTCACAACTTGAAGGCCCTCTTTTGCTGGTTCCTCTTTACTGCTGCTCTCTGGGACATGGACCTCATTGAGCTTGTCGTTCTCCATCTTGTCAGAGTCACTGCTTCCAATGCCCTCGTCTGAGAGCTTGCCGCTGGCCTTGTCTTCCGAGCCTTCCGTCTCCGCCTTCTCCGACACCGACTCCAAGACGGAGGTCGTCTGAGACAGCTTCTCATCCTCCGAACTGCCGAAGCTGGCATCTGACAGAGCTCGCTGATGTCCAGGCCCCAGCTGCAGAGCGGAGAAGGTTCACATGAACATGGGTACACGGCCATGTGTGTGGTTGATGATAAACTTCTGGTAGGACAAAACTGCAGACAGTGGCATGATTTGCATACTAGCAGACAGTAAAAAGGTAATTCCATTCAAAAAAGAGCCAACAACCCTCACCAACTGTGGCTCTGGCTCCTCATCTTCCTCTTCCTCTTTGGATTCCTCAATTTCCTCCGTGACCTCTGCTTTGGCTTCTGCTATCAGCTCCCGAAGAGGCCTGCTGTCCGGCACGTTCGCAGCAAAAGGGTGCTGCGTAGGGCGAGGCCAGCAATCAATCAGAAAAAGCAGTCATGGGCCCACATCCCCCACATCCCCATCAAGCCAGGCCACAGCCTTGAGGGATTCAGCACTGCTAAGTGTCCCCCTATAGCTAATCATCAGCTTTTATTGTCTGTATACCTTAAGAATCCTTACTTACATTACTGATGCACAGTAAACACCTGCATGCATGCCCGCCCATACATAAATCTACGAGTTTCAACTAGTGTGGCCAAAGGGTATTTCACTGATTAACTAGCTAAAAAGTTAATATCTCGAAATAGCACGAGATTGTGACTTAAATCAGGACGCAATTTTAAGTGAAGCCGGATGTCAGATTAACTGCTTGTCAGTTACTGTCCAAAAAACAACACAGCTCCCAACAGAACTCAACTTGTTTTCAAGATTCTTCCTTCGTTTTTATCCAGGAACATCCAGCGGTCTAAATTAAAAACATTCTTTGGCAGCCATAGATTTATTTGATATTAAAGAACAAAAAGATGAGGCTATATAAAACTACATAAAGTCTGCTCTTTACTAGTATATCACAGTGTTGCAGGCTGCATAGCAATTAGACACAGACGTCTGAAATGGCAAACTACTTTCATTCCCCGCCAAGCCTCTTCACTGTCGCATTCACATACATGCTAATCGAATAGCCTTTTTAAACTCGTGTTCTATTCCCAGCAGTAAGGCACAGCATTAAGCAAAGACCCACTGATGAAGCTCTGTTGCTAGGCTTTGTCCGTGGTCCAAGGCCTAGCGCCTACCTGCAGGAGCTGAATGCTGTTCCACCTGTTGTCCACATTTTTATCCAGCGCCTTCCGCAGGAAGTCACTGAACTCCGGAGACCTGCCCAATGCAAAATGAAGGGTTTTAACAAGAAGGGGCCAAATAACCTGCATTGAGGGTAATGTATGTAGAGGTCCAGTGAGACTGTCCCTCACCAGTGCGATGGATGCATCAAAGTAGGGGGCTCAGACTTGGCTATCTTCAGCAGGACTCTCATGGGGTTCATCTCATGGTTGGGGGGCTCTATCTGCGCCAGCTCAATCAGCGTGACGCCCAGGGACCAGATGTCTGCCTTGTAGTCATAGGGCCGGTCCTTAGAGGTCTCGCACATGACCACTTCGGGGGCCATCCTGCGGGGCACGGGAGACAGGAAGTGTCCTCAGAGGACGCAGTTTCTACAGGAAGCTGATAAAGTGCCCAAACACAAAGACAGACGGGAAGGAGCTTTCCTCAGCAGGAGGAAAGTGTTGGTGGAACGTGTTACTCACCAGTATGGGGTCCCGATGAAGGAGTCTCTTCTCTGAAGAGTCTTCGTGTTCTTGGCTGACACACCAAAGTCAGCTAAGGGCAGAAAGTACTGGCTTAGGGCCAAAATATGAGTGCTGGGTGGGGCAGTGGGGCGGCCTACGGCCCCTTACTCAGACTTAACTAAGCCTAACGTTCTCTCTGAGTCAGGTGGCCAGTCCCCACATGTACGCTGGTAAAACATTAACACACTCAGGTAGCCCCTGTGCTCAAGCTACAACAATTCTATGCTAGCTACAATGCTATTCTCTCAGCCCTTCTTTAAGTCCAAGATAATTCAGTGCCTATTTACATCGCATCAGTGATCAATCCCCAAACTGATCCTTCAAGCTAAATAAAATGACCTTAAAACTAAAACATATTTAAACACAGTACATTTACATTTATTTATTTAACAGGTGCTTTTAACAAAGCGTCATACAAATGAGAAAGCGGGGACAAACATTCACTGGAGCGATTCGAGTGGATAAGCGCCTCGCTCAAAAGCCTAATGGTGACATCGCTCTGCTGACCCTGGGATTTGAACCGGCAACCTTCCGATCATGGGCGCAGCACTGAGCCACACACCACCTCCACTGTAAATATCGAAGACCAATATTTTTATGGAATTCAATTATTGGTGTCTCCTGATGTCACCCTACAAAGAGAGAGAACATCCACCCCCACCTGTCTACAAGTGTTGTACTAACGATTATCTGTTGACAGTCATTCAGTTAATGCATAACAACAAAACTCCTTGGCCCTCAAAACACGACTGGCAGTGGTGCTTACCCAGCTTGACGTCCCCTTCCAGAGAGAGAAGGATGTTACCAGCTTTCAGGTCCCTGTGAATCACCTTGTTCTCGTGCAGGTAAATCAGTGCCTCGAGGGTCTGCCTGCAAACCACCCGGATCTGGGGCTCAGTCAGGGGTCTCTCCAGCTCTGGAATCAGACACACACACACAACTATGTCTCTGTCCACTCCTTATTCTGGCCAAGCTAGCAGAAGAGCCTCCCAGGAACAGAGACAGGCAGCACAGAGGAAGCAATCACAGAATATTGGGGGGGGGGGAGCAGACGAAGAAACAGGAAAAAAAAAAAAAATGAGGTTCTGCTGCTTAATTGCACTGTGGTACCACACGATGGCAGCGTAAAGAAAGCGCAGTTGCTCACAGTACTGATAAGTCCTCTGAGTCTTTATGAAGGACCTAAAACAAACACACAGTACTTTGTAGAAAGGTCTGTCTGTCAACATTACCTAGTGAGTCATGCATTTACATTCCTACGCCTTTCTCTCAGTGCGAATAAAAATAGCACCTACCCAGCATCACGGCGTCGACGGCTCCCCCTGCACAGAACTCTATCAGAATCTGCAGAGTGAATGAACAATGAATCAGGACCAGATAATCTCTCATTTAAACAGTGAAGCAACCCACTGGGAGATACAGCACAATATAACTCAGAAACGCATAACTTGATTCCAAGAGATAAAAGTTCATGCGTGTTTTATCAGGGCGGCATCTATCGTCAGTGTCACCAAACTGAGGAGCTAATCTACAGCCTCTCAGAACTCTTGAAGACACCATGAATCCCAGGTGACCAATTATACACAATTTATTTAATCTCATGCTCCAGGGATCAACCTCAACTCTACTTTAGTTTTTAGAATCAACTAGATGCTGGAAGACCATCAGTACAGCGTGAGATGCTGCAGGACTTCCCAAGCAGGGAAAGGCAGTCAGAGACCTTCCTTAGAGGGACTGGGCTTTCTCTGCATTATAGAATCGGATATCTAGCGTGACGCTGCAGGCAGCTGGCTCTGCTCTGGGAGCATACGTGAGATCTCAGCAGCACGGCCTGTTCGTCATGCTGACAGAAACCTTGACATTATACTTAGTGTGTGCATGCAGTTTTATCCTGTTGCGCCTCATCAATAATGAACAACGATAATGCAATAATGGTGCTACACTTTAAAGCCGTCTTTCTGAGTCCATTGCTCAGTAGTATTACCTAATCAATCACCAAATTAAAGAGGTAAATTAAGCACATTAAGAAGGATCATGCTGTACAACAGCCTGCCAACTACTTTCTGATTTCCTTTAGCCCCGCCCATGGGGGGGGGAGGGGGGAGAGAGCCACACCCACATGGCACACAATGCAGGAATCCCAGAGAAAATCACACACCCACAGTTTGGTATCATAGTAGAAGGCATCCAGCAGTTTCACAATGTGATGGTGATCGCAGGAGGCCAGGATTTCTATCTCCACCATGTAATCCTCCAGCTCCTCGTCAGTCGCCGTGCTGATGACCTTAGCTGCAGCCAGGGTACCCGTCTCTTTATTCTGGGCCTGGAGCACAGAGACGGGGAGAAGAGCGTCAAAACTAAGACTGACAGTGATGGGCTGACATAGCAGCGTGAAGCGCATTTAGAAACGGGACAAGCATGTGAAGTTATGAGCCTGTCGATTCCAGCAATCGGCAATGAATTTTTTGTTAATGGTTTTCTGTCAGAACACGGACTGTTGCAGAAAGTGTTAAAAGCAATGTAAACTGTGGCGTGTAGCCGATGGCCGGAAACGTGGTGAGTCAGATGAGGTGAGGCCAGGCGTGGGCCAACCAGAGATCAGAAGAAAAACACCCAACAAGAGTTGGCGCCAGCCTTGCTCGGCATTCCCTCCATTACAACACTTCCCCCAGAAGCAGGGCAGTGCCCGGATGAGGCAGGATGATGGGGGGGGGGGTGAGACCAGCATTTACCTACCAGCCCTAGGACCTTTCATATTGCCAAGCTCTGCACTCTAACTTGATGTTCAAATGTCAAGGTGGTTTGCATCATTCTTACAGAGGCATCACAGGGAAGAATCCGGGCAGAGCTGCATCCCAACATACGTATCCTTATCGGGACAATAAGTGTTTAACAATACTGCCATTTAATTTAATCACAGGAAAACACAACAGAAAGGTGCTTCCTGTGCACACGGGCACTTCCTGGATGAGCAGCGGGGGGAGGACCTGGGCAGCTGGGCAACGGACAGGGTTTTCTCAGCTTCTGACTTCCTTGCAGGGCTGGGGTGGGGGGGGAACGGCACAGCTATTTTGGGCTAAGCTCGGGTTTAAGCAGTGAGGACTGGGAGGGGGGCGGTTTGGATGGAATCTGGTGTCGTCACACTTCTATTTACATAAGCGGACGTCACTTGAGTTGAATGGCCCCACGCCTCACTGTATCCCACTCCCAGTCGCCATACAGGGACTACAAGCTGGCTCTGCCACTGGCAAACAGGTTTTGGCTCAGATCCAGAGTCAAACACTTAACTCTGGCTCATATTTCAGGAAGGATTGTGGGTGTGTCCGTGTTTTCTTGGTCCGGTCAGTTTTTCAAATCAGTCAGGTTTTGAGTCAAATGACATAATTATGGCCTGAAACCCAAACTTGAGCTACAGCCTAGCTGCAGAATCAGGAGCTATAAAGAAGTAACATCATAAGAAGAATAATGGACTGACTTATCAATAGAGACATCTAACACAGCAATTCCTAATTCGTAGATACAATTTCTTCTGAACCGCTCTAGCAAAACAATACTTATGTGGCTGAACAAAACATCCCAGTCATTTCCTAATGCAGAATACACTAGACCAGGAGTCACAAAACCAATACCATTGCAGCATCATTTTCAGCCCTGCAATTGACTGGGGATCAAAGAGAAAGGCAAAAAACTCCACTATACGCCAGTATGATTCATTCTGAACTCTGCACAGAACTTCTGTTCGCTTTGACTAATAAGCCCCATAAACTATGCTATTCTAAGCATATTTCTGACAAACCTGTCCCTCTATCACACACATCTAAAATGTTGATGCGTGACCCTTCAGCTGGCCCTGAATGCATTGATGTCATGGTCTCATGCTCTCCTGCGGTTCCATGTCAATCTACCGGAGCAGAGATGAGCATGCAACCAATCTTCAGCCGGTCGAGCATGTTTTCTCTGTTCTGCTGCTGAATACCACCACGACTCACAGCTGTGGGAGGCACTGGGATTATGGGCAAGCACTTTAACTTAAAACCTTAATTTCTCCTGCAAAACCAAAAGTTTATAAAAATGGGTCGTTTCAAATAGACAAAACAATGAACAAATAACCATTCAGACCAACAGAAGAACCTCAAATCAGCTGTAGCACGCAGGCTAGTATGGTCATTATATATAACGTATATATCACGTTGTCGTCATCCTGCTATACGGCAACCTTGAGTTGTAAAGTAGACTGAGGTTAATACATTCTTTAAAACACTCGCTAATGTTTCTGTTCCCCTGTGAACCGATATAAAACAGGGCTGTGGCACTGAGAAACAGGACTAAATCAAATAATAAAGCTACAGGGAGCCGTGCCTTTGAGTGACGAACTGCAAGTACTGCAGAGTGGAGAGCCTCCGAAAAGGAACTAAAGTAAAGCCATGGAGTCCAGCAGTAATGTATGTAATCTTACATTGCACAACAGGAATGTTAAGACATCACTAAGATAGCGTTTACAAAAGCATAACTAACGTTCCTCTGAGACCGTCCGTCTCAGCTGAGGCTGCTTTGTGTGTGATTGATAAATATGTCAACATGGATGTGGGCAGAAAATAAACATAGCATCTCGGAGAAATTTCCAACGCCAGTGTTTCATGTCCTCCAAGCATCATGCCATATGCTACCCAGAAGAGGTGACACAAGGTCCCCTGCTGCAGAGTTCTGTGACACCTACTTGAGAAGGCAGTGGAGAGGGAAGCTAGAGGCAAGTGGCACTTATTTCTTTTACAACATTTACAGTCATGACAATTGCTTGGGTCTGTCTGGATGATAGTCTACGTATTCAGTGACCAAATATATTGGAGATCAGGCTTTCCAGCGATGATTTGCCTGCTGGATTTGACGCACCTATTGGGAACAGTGAACAAAAGGTGTTTCCTATGATGTCAGATGAATGACTAATGTATAAACAGGCAGTCTCGATAGACTATCTTTTGAAGGGCAGCTACACACAAGCCTCCCAGTGGTCCATGACTTGTCTAGGGTAAGACTATCTGCTACCATTCCAGGCTTTAACCTGTTTGGCTTTGCTCAGAATAGGTGACTCTGAATTTGTACCCTTCGCTCCAAATTCCCCGCCCACAACCCTCCCCCCTGTCCACTAGCCAAGCGACTCTCACCACTGTTTCTGAGATACGCTTTGGCAAGCCCCACCTAGCTGATGTCAGGACGTGCTACTCAAAGCATGCGGGCCTGGCAAGCACATTGGAAAGGTGTGATTAAATGTGCTGATGCAAGCAGTAACAGTGAAGCCACTGCTGGCGATGTGACCCATCCCCCCAGCTCCCCACTCCCAATACAAAGAGTAGAAAAACTTCCTACCATCTGTACAATAGCCCATTATGGATGGGCCAGTATCTACAATTCTCATTTCCACTTACTGATAACTTTACACAGTGGTACGTTCAAAAACATTTAATTGAGGGGACAATACTAGCAATGGCCCATGGAAATTTGACTGAATTTGTGGCTTCAGTTGATAATGTATTTGCTGTGAACCTCACAAGCTTTTATATATAAGAATATCTAGATTGTATATATTGTTTATACATCTTGGGAGTTTCCGGCTAGATGAGGCATCCTGCGAATTTACCACACAAACAGAGAGAATGTGTGTCTCTCATCCAAAACAGCAAATCTGCCCTTCACTTGCTTAGGTCCATGGGTCTATCATCCCAGGATATTTCAAAGACATTCATCTTGCCTTCCCTCTATTCTTTTGGCTCAAGTTTAACAGCAGAATCCTCTAAAACCTAAAGGTGATGATACGCAGGGCAACTTTTTACGCAACGTTGCCGGCAATGTTGCTGACCCATGTTGCTCGGGCAGCAGATTTCTATTTGAAAAACTTTAACTGGCAGCGGGCAACATTTTCCGACGATCCAGATGAGTTGTCCTTTGGCTCACCTGGTTGCCAGTTGCCCGGAGACATTGCTCAAACTGTTGCCCTGCTATCATCCCCTTAACAGTACGGATACTTTACGAAAATCTCTCAACCGCACGGCTACAACAACCAATACCTTCCCATAAGAGTCATCTCACCCTCATTCTGGGCATCTGATCCCTCACTTACGTTCTAACCACCAGGTTTGCAGAGTTATCAAGATTCTTCACAGGAATCTTACACCATCAGCAGTCATGCAATGAGCACAGTAACATACATAGATCACTTTGATGTAGGTCTGATCAAAGTTATAAAGCTTTATCTTAGAGTACATGGGGCGCCAACAAGCATTATAACAGTGACGATTTATCTTCAGTATTACTTTTTTCATCCGTCAATGACGTTATATACTAAAGCTGAGTTCTTTTGCCACTGAAATTCAAAATGAGGCCCAAACTCAAAATTATAAAATAATCTTTACATTATGAGAGTCACGAATAAAAACATGCAAGTAAAGCAATGAAAAATTAATGACTGGTATAGCTGGAGTTACATTACACTGTATGTACTTCAAATTATATAACTGCACTGCTTAATAAATGATGTTTATGTCCAAAACAGATCATCACACACTAAAGCATCAAATTAGTAACGTAAATAAAAATGAAAACAATTCTCATGTTCCGCAGTATGGTTAACTTTAACCCAGGGTAACACATTTAGATTGGCATTTACAAATCAATTCTATTTTAAAAACCCTACCGCATGTCTATGTGTGCGGGTAGGTACAGGGCACGGATCCACATGTGAAACGATCGAGTCCTTTGGGGTTGAGTTTACCACAATGAGAAAAGGCCCTTAAAATAAAGTTCACCTTGTAGACTTTCCCGAAGGCTCCGTCGCCCAGCTCGCCGATGATTTCCCAAATATCCTCCGGATTAACGTCCCTGTGGACGTGCTCATACTGCTTCTTCTTCTTGTCTGCCCCCAGCTTAAATATTTTGCGAAAATTAAAAAACGACATTGCTTCTTTTCTGCCAAGTACTGTAACTATCGGCGAACGATCGGCTCTGCGACTTCCTTTATTTTCTGTAAAAAAACGACTAATATGCTATATGACCAGCTAGGTAGCTCTCCAGTCATTCAATAAAAGAAAATACAAAACTATTAGCTATAGACTACATTTATATAGCTTTGTTTTCACCAGTACAATGTGATCCCAGATTTGGACTGGATATCAAAAATATTTCATTTATACTAACAAATCAATGCTATCATTAACTATTATTCTAATATCCTGCCAGTCAAGCAATTAAATCCGACTGTTGTAGGAAAAAAAAACACTGGCGGCTAACTAGTAAATCGGACCATACAGTAACTACCAGCCATGTTTGAGCCGCAATTAAAAAATAAGTCTATATCAACCGCTTATCCGGAGATAGCGGGCGCCGCCGGCCGTCATAGCCGAGGCTTGCTAGCGCTCCCGCGGACTCGGTGGGCATCCACAGCCCCGAGTTTCGGCCCAGCGACGCGAGCGGAGACGGAAGGGGGAAAAAAAGCGCCTTCTGACTTTAAGTAAGCTTTTAGAATAAAATAATAATACTCCGATAATACAATTCCACCCCGTAAACGCGTCTCTCCTTGCAAATCACAGAAAAACCCTTTCACGAGACTAGAACAAAGTGAGCCCGCTTCCCTCGTCTGGAATCAACAACTTGAGAAGCAACGACTACAGCACGGCGGACGGAGCGCGTTCCCGCAGAGCTTGGCGGACAGAGCGCGTTCCCGCGGAGCGCAGACTCAGTGTGGCTTAAAAAAAAAACAAAACAAAACCGCAAGCTGTACGGTGGGGGCGTCATAGACAAACAAAACATTTTCATATCACGTCAGTTTTACGTTGGGAAAAAAAATCCTTTCTTCACCCAGGAAGCACCAACAAATAAAACAAATTTATGACGCAAGGGGAAATGAATGTGCCAATTCAATGTCGTACTGAAGGTAGACACAATTCACAGATGCAAAAACCAAGCAGTCAAGACAAAAATGATTAAGAAAAAAATAATTTGTAATCAAAATACAAACAAATTGAAGCATAACTATGAATACAAATACAAGGTGGAGTGTGTGGGAATATGCATGCATGCAATATTCGTGCATTTACAGGTACTATCAGTCCTATTGAACTACAGATATTAAGACAAAAACAACTAATTTTCTTGCACTTAAGACTTCCTCGGGACTGGATCAGTTATCAGAATTCACTTATGTGGATGTCTGTAATTTGTGTCACAGACTGGGAGGATCAATTTTTCTACTTATTTAATTGCCCTGATAATTTGAATCACCGTGCTTCTTAAACACCGTTAAAGTAACACTTTCTATCCCGGATTTATTATAATTACATATTGGGTCGCCTTTACAGCCTTCTGTTGGTGAAAATATTGAAATAGCTTTCAGTATTAACCTTAATCAGTGCCCTTGGAAGGTGTTGTAGACAGTGATGTGCTCCATTATGTACCTTCCAAGGATTTATTTTTCTCCATTATTCATCAATGTATGGTGACTCTGAGATGGAAAGTTTATGTCACTCTTCTTTGAACACACCCTATTGCAGCCATTGCAGAACTTCAGCGTGAGGTTTTCTCAAACTTGAATTTGATATTCTTTATTTATTTTGCTGGCCACTTACTGCACTCTATCTATCTATCTATCTATCTATCTATCTATCTATCTATCTATCTATCTATCTATCCATCCATCCATCCATCCATCCATCCATCCATCTATCTATCTATCTATCTATCTATCTATCTATCTATCTATCTATCTANATCTATCTATCTATCTATCTATCTATCTATCTATCTATCTATCTATCTAGCATTTGTTAATTTCAATAAGTTTATATAAATGATTTTGTTTGTTAATTAGTGTGTGACTCATTGGGTTAGGCTACTGAGCCTTTGATAAAAAGGTTGCTCATTCAAATCCTTTGGTCAGCAGAGTGATTTCACCGTCAGGCCCCAGCTGGGACTGTCTGAACCCGCTTACTCAAAATGCACATCACTTTGGATGATTGCTTCTACTAAGCAAATATAATTGTTTATGTAGTTTCAGTCTAATCTGCTGTTCTACTTCTAATTGTTTTTCTGGAATGTAGTAACGGGTCTGTTATACTGAAGGACGTCTTCTGAGCCTGGACTTAATCCAAGGCTAAGCCACCCCAGCTGTGGATTAGGGCGTAATCGTGACTAGCTGGGAGCTGTAAAAACAACCAAGGAATGTTTACACTGCATGAAAGAGTTGTTTTTTTTTTACTGAAGGAACAATCAAAACAAATTAAAATTTTATACATATGAGAATTTAAGCCTTTGGATATAATTTACTGAGAAGGGAAAAATCTAAACAGTTCTAATAAAATTTCCATCTGGGACTTAATCTTAACTCTAATCTTCAAGTTTCTGTTTTTATGAATTTATATAAAAACAGCCATAACATAACATAGAATTATTTTTTAATGATTGCAGAAGAAGTTTGTGATTTGTTAATAAAGAAAATAATAGGGGCTAGTTCCAATTATCCAATTAAATAAAGGACAGTAGAGGGATGCATTGTGTAACTTTCAGCAAGCAACCATTTTATTCCATCTTATGACCACTTACACTGGTCAGGGTTGCACAAAAGGCAGCATCAGGCATCAGGCTGAGATGCATGAGATGCCAGTGCAACACAGGACACATATCCACACTAATACTCCATAGGCAGTGTAGAGATGGCAGGAGTAGCCTAACTGCATAATAGCCTAACTGCATAATAGCCTAACTGCATAATAGCCTAACTGATAAAGCTCTTGTTCGGTAAATATTTCATTTTTGAATTGCCATCAGCCAAATTTTATACGTAATGAATTTCTGGAATGTTATAAGGCCAAATGTGTGTGAGACTACTCCTGTGAGGAATATGTATATCGCTCTTAGCTTCCTATAAATGAGTTATTGGGAGTTTACATAAAGTAAAATAAAAGCTGCATGGTAAAACATAAACAAAAACAAACAAGCAAACAAACAAAAAACATTCAGTTAGGTGGCAGGATGGCTCAGGCACTGTGGCTTAACATTTTTAGGGTCTGATTCTATCCTCAGATCTTTGAGTGTGGAGGTTGCATGTTCTTCCACCATCTGTGCAGGTTTCCACAGTCCACAGTCACTTTGGTTTCCTCCAGCAGTCAAAAAATATTTAAGTTGTATCTCCAAAGTTGTGCACAGGGTTTCACCAGATATGGTTGAAAGAAGCAAGCAACCAACCACTGCAAGGTTGCAGTGGATATTTCTGATGAATGTAAACATTTGTTTGCATTTGTTATTAAATAGATACAGAGTTGAGATGGGTTTAACGGAACGGTGGAGATGAATGGAAATAAAAATTGCATAAATTAGCATCAGTGCAAGAGATAACATGCAGAAATCAATGTGGGGCTATCATTCCCTGGGAAGAGTTGAAGTGGGGTGCAGGTCTCAGGATGTGTTGGGGAAAAAAAACACAAGGAGAGACTGTCTGCAAGCCAGAAGTGACCAAATTAATTTACAAACCAAATTTCTGCTGACCTCTGCTGGACATACTGTTAAAAGCATCGCTTACAGTGGAAAATAAAACTACGAATAATAAAAAAGATACAAATAGCTGCCTAAACTTAAATGTATCTCTTTTTGCAAGTGTAAAACACAAATAATTTGTGTAAAAAAGATTCGTACAATTTACTTTATTTCTATTAATGTGTTGCATTGCATTCATATAAAAACACAGTTGCTTTTTCACTGATGTTTGGTCTTTATGTTAGAAAATGGATAAAAGTGCAATATTTTATTTTTACATGTTGCTCATAGAGTCATGGTGTATTAATGTGAGAGATTTTAGTATATGTATTATTTTCTAGAAATATGTGTGCTGATATTAATATACATCCTGAAAGTATTATATGGAGATATGCATATTTATCTGACCACCTGATCATCTTAAACAAGGTACCCATCTAAACAAGTGGACCGTCACTTGGCACAATGGAGAATGGCCCAGTTCCACCAGTAGAATCGTTTTCCTGCACAATATACCTGCTAAATGGTTTACATGAAATCAACATTTGTGTGAAAGCAAATAAGTAGAACTGTGACACAGAATATTAGACTCACTCTTCTTCCACCTCATGGTCTTCTGCATACTCCAGGGGCTTCTGTAATATCTGCAGGACCAGTTTCCTAAGACTGACTTGGCGAGCTATTGATAGAATTTGGGGATTTTCATTTGTAATGCTTAAAATAAATACTTCAATACTTTAATGTTAAATACTGAAGCATAAAAATAACATTTTCCTTTGAGTGAATAGGGTACAAATGGACACAATGGTTCTGCCTCAGAGGCTGAACCTTTGATGTGTAGCGACTCCTGGGAAAATGATTTGCAACACCGTTCAATAGTGGAGCCTACCCAGAGATTTCACATGCAACATCAGAAGACTTGTAGTTCCGCCTGAACCATTTGTCACTGTTCGAACACATTTAATTTTTTCCATCAGCGTCCTAGACCTTTGGTCTTTGGTGGTTAAAAACAGGGGGACTTGGAGTGATGATGAGAAACAGCAAATCCAGAAAGAAGTTTGAATAGCTCTCTCTGTCGGGGTGAGGTTTAATGGGGAGGGGGACACGTCTCTGAGCACTGTTAGGAACTGCTTCCCTCCCACATTATCCCGCTAAACATTTTATTTGAGTCTCCATTAGAATCCCTTCAAAGAAAACCAAAGGAGTCCAATCAATTGTTTCTTGGCTCTGAAATGGGAAAAAGGTATTAAGGCAGCAAGTACTGGGAGGGGCGGGGGGAGGTTGTACATATTGTACTGTAGGAAGAGCCACAGGCTGTGGTGGTTTAAGGGGGAGTGTTGCTATGTCAACAAATGTAAGACTTGCTACAGTAAATGAGGTGGTGGAAGTGTGAGATGTTTTAGGCTATGATGGTTGCTAAGCAATTGAATGAAGCAGTGAGGAGAGAGGTGAGACTGTGAAACACTGGGTATGTGGGATTACAGTGCACTGTCAATCACTGCTGGGTTTGACCAGATGTGGTTGAAAGAAGCAACCAATGAGAAATGGTTGTTATAATCCCACCTATTGTAGATTTTGAAGTGTCTCATTGTATCTCTAAAATAAAAGAGTATGGATAAATTGAGTATGATCTATAATCCTACCCCCGAGGTTTCAGGAGAAATGGGTGTGAAAACCTCATGAAGCCCCATGGCCATTTCACAGTTTGGAAATTAGAATCCAAATCCAAATCAATTTTATTCATGCACTACTTTTCATTGCACTGTGTAATGTATTTTACTCTGCTTAGCATAAGAACAATTGGCATTTATGAGACCGAGTAACCTGACAGATAATCTGTTGAGTGCATCAATGGCATATTCTTGAATGCGACGTGAGATTAATGCAAAGACTATAAACTGCATGTCTGTAAGTCCATTTTGGGTGGGGGTGAGTGTAACAACTTGGGAAGTGTGAGAGACACAGACGGTTTTACCAGAGATGCAGGAAAAGCAATTTCACCCGGTACTTGTCAAACCAAAATGCTATTTCAATATATTAAGTTCAATAAAATGAAATTGTATTGTAGAGTTATATTTGAAAATGTGGCTTGTGTTAGTCATATCAATGTGTATCAATCATTGTAAATATACTTATCATAATTTTTTTACTATTGTATTTATCTGGGAGACTGGA